AAGCACAGATAGACATTCTTCTGGTATTCTCTGCTTTCTGCCAAGATCCATCTAACATTAGCTGTAATATCACTGGTACCACAACCTCTTCTAAATCCAGCCTGTACATCTGGCAGTTCTCTGTTGACATATTGTTCCAAACATTTTTGGATAATTTTCAGCAGAATCTTGCTTGTGTGTGACATTAATGATATTGTTTGATAATTTCTGCACTCTGTTGGGTCACCTTTCTTTGGAATGGAAACAAAAACAATCGATCATTTCCAGTCAGTGGGCCAGCTGGCTGTCCTCTAGATTTCTTGGCACAACTTAGTGAGCACATCCAGGGCAGTGTCTGTCTGTTGAAATATGTCAATTGGTATGCCATCAACTTCTGGAGCCTTGTTTTTTGCCAGTTCCTTCGGAGAAATTTGAACTTCCTCCTTCATCACCATAAGCTTTTGCTCATATGTCATTTCATGAAATTCTTCTGTGTCAGCCAATTCCTTCTGATACAATGACTCTGTGTATTCTTTCCATCTTCTCTTGATACTTCCTGGATCATTTAACATTCTACCCAAAGTATCCTTAAGTATTGCCACCCGTGGCTTGACTTTGGGTTTTAGCTCCTTCAGCTTAAGAAACGCTGAGCGAGTTCAGCCCCTTTGATTTTCTGACTCCAGCTCTCTGCACATTTCATTATAGTATCTTGCTTTGTCATTCCGGGATGCCTTTTTAAATTTTCTGTTTAGCTCTTTGATTTCTTCCTTTAGCTTTGGTTTCTTGGCGCTCTAATGGTAATATTCAGAGTCTCATCTGACATCCATCTTGGTGTTTTCTTCTTTTTCAGCTTTTGTAATGATCTTTTGCATTCTTCATGAACGATTTTCTTGATATCCTCCCAGAGTTCGTTTGGCCTATTCTCATTGGTGCTCAAGGTCTCAGACCTGGTCCTGATATGGTTTTGAAATTCGAGTGGGATAGACTTAAGATCAAAGTTTGGTTTCCGTGGACTTGATTTAATTTTCCTCAACTTCAGCTTGAACTTGCATATGAGTAGTTGGTAGTCTGTGCCACAATCAGCACCCGGCCTGGTTTTCACTGCTGATATTGAGCTTCTCCACCGAGTCTTTCCACAAATGGAATCTATTTGATTCCTATTCATGCCATCAGGTGAGATCCATGTGTATAGCCTGCGTTTATGTTTCTTATAGAAGGTATTTGCAATGAATAAATCATTGAATGTGCAGAACTCTATCATTCTATCTCCAGTCTTCATTTCTCTCACTGAGCCCGTGTTTTCCAGCTACTGATCCTTCTTCCCTGTTCCCTACTTTTGCGTTCCATTCGCCTATTATTATCAATGCATCTTGATTGCATGTTTGATCAGCTTCTGACTGAAAAAGTTGGTAGAAATCTTCTATTTCCTTCTCTTTGGCTCTAGTTGTTGGTGCATATATTTGAATGATAGTGGTATTCACTGGACTTCCTTGTATGCGTATGCTCACCACATTGTATTTCAGGATGGATCTAGAAATGAATTTTTTAATTATGAAACCAACCCCATTCTTCCTCACCTTTTCATCCTCAGTATAGTAAATCAACAGTTGGCTGATTCAAAATGTCCCATGCCAAGCCATCTTATTTCGCCAGTACCTAACATGTCAATATTTATGCGTTCTATTTCTTTCTTAACAATGTCCAGTTTTTCTACATTCATGCTTCTCAGGTTCTATGTTCCAATCACTGTATCTGCTTACAGCTGTTCCTTCTTCTCTGTATTTCCATTTCTAAGATCTCAGTCTCAATTGTCCTGTCAGCTAGTCCAAGCATTAGTCTAAGTGTGCTCTATTGTACTAAGGGTTTTCGAAGGCCTGTTTTTTCGGAAGTGGATGGTCAATCCTTCCTAGTCTGTCTCAATCTTTAAATATATATAATAGTATCTGACAGACAAGCATTCCACAGCAAAGAGGAGATGAAAGACAATTAATTGCCCAGTTATAGCAATGACCAATAGATTCAATGTTGCTGCCCTCCCACGCTTCCTTACTCCACCACTATCCCTTCCTACTTTTGCCTACAGCATTCAATACCCATCTCCCATTGATTGGTCCGTGATGTGATGGCCTAAGTCTCAAGCCATCAGGATTTCTTTTTTATTACTACTGATTAAAATAGCAGTTATGTTTAATAACAGGCTTACACAGTAGTATAATGTGTAAAAACAGTAACTTCTAAGCATGATAAATTTTCACCCAGATGATAGAAAGAGGCTCTGTTAATGTTGTAAATATGTTAAAGAAATTATCACATGGTAATTTCTTCTAAGGATTTCAAATCTTGGCAGATTTCTTTTGTACCGAATATGCAATAGAAAGCAAAACACAACAATTTCTGGTGCAGTGCAGATAACACGAGCTTCCGTAAGCCATCCACTCATTTATTTTCATTCTCATATTTCAGAGATGGACTTTAAAAGGACTCATGTTCTTGAGAAGCCTGCTTCCACATCCCCACTCTATGGTTTTGTAATGTTTCACTGTGATTGTACATAATCAAATTTTCCCTTAATACCAGGTATTCTTTAAAGAAATTTTCCTGTATATACTGGAAACTTCTACCAGCTCATTTGACCACAAATGGATGGTTATTCAGACTCTGACAAGGATTTGTGCAGGTAATTAAAATTACCTTCCATTATTATTTTTTCTTATGCTAAGATATGTAAATGACCACATGTATTCAGATATGAAGTCAATACTTTATGTTGTTGCAGATGCTCAGAGTGTAGTGGATATTTATGTAAACTATGACTGTGATTTAAATGCAGCAAATATATTTGAAAGATTAGTAAATGATCTATCAAAAATTGCTCAAGGACGGGGCAGTCAAGAACTTGGTATGAGTAATGTTCAGGTAAGAACCTTTGACTTTTTAAAATTTAAACTTTGTCAAAGTAGAGCTACATGTTTATTTTTTTTAAATATTATTTTGCATGTATTTAACTTATCAATTCTTTTGTAGGAATTGAGCTTGAGGAAAAAAGGTTTAGAATGCTTAGTGTCAATTTTGAAGTGCATGGTTGAATGGAGTAAGGATCAATATGTGAATCCCAACTCCCAGACAACTCTTGGTAAGGGGACATTTCGAGTTGTAATTCTCTTTTCATTTTAAGTAAATGATGTTTTGGAGGACAGTTAGCAGATGCCATTAAAACAGTTCATGATCTGTGTACTCATTTTAACTGATGAAGACACATTCCCTGTGAGCTTTAAAAGAATTTTCCAACTATCAAAACTGTATTTCAAAATTTTCCTTGTAATATTTTTAATATCACATTAAAGGAGTCCATATTTCTGCTATTTGTTAAAAGCTGTTATTAGGGGGGGACAACCCTACGTAAAAAACTGATGTGTTTAAGAAGATTGTTTTTGTTTGGTGCTTATTTAAGTAATTCAGAGAATACTCATAGCTTCTGAGCAGCACTAGTGTTACCTGATTATGACTGAATCCAAAAGACCTAGTGAATACTCAGCACTGAAATGGCCATTAAAAAAAGAGCTCCTTCAAATGGTGCAAATGATGTATTGTTTTAATATCAAGATATATTGTCAGAGTATCTGGTATTTTACTTGTATTATATATTAGTCTCTGTTAGATAATCAAGCAACATGGAAATATTTTGCTTTATTAAAAACTTAGTTTTATCTTTCTTATGTTTCTTTTCATTTTTTCCTTTGACAGAATAATTTATTACATTTTCATGTTACAGGTCAGGAAAAACCTTCAGAGCAGGAGACAAGTGAAATCAAACATCCTGAGACAATAAACAGATATGGAAGTCTAAATTCTCTGGAGTCAACATCATCATCAGGGATAGGCAGCTACAGTACACAGATGTCTGGCAATGATAATCCAGAACAATTTGAGGTTCTTAAGCAACAAAAGGAAATAATTGAGCAAGGGATAGATTTGTAAGTATCAGAGTTTAAGGAGAAATACCTATCCAGAATTCTGCCACTCTTGTGCTACATGTATATACTACTTTTAGTTATTTTTTAATTCCTTTCTTATTATTACCACTTTTCAAAGAGTTAAAAAGGTGATTTGTTTTTCTGAATCCACACTTCTGGTGATTTCTTATTCAAATCCATTGTTCATTTTCCCATACAGACTCATAATGTGTTTGAGATCCACTCATATGAATTAATTTTATAGCATATATTGTTTCCTGTTGGTAAAAATTTCATCTATAGTTATGAAATCCTGTTAAGTTTGCTAAGTGAGATATGTTTAAAATTTGGTACTTCTTCTATCTAGCATTATTCCTTACTAGATTTTATTTTGTCTTAGTTGAGTTAGAATCTCACTATTATTATTGATCCATTATAATGGAATTCATTTTATAATTTGATAAAGTGGTCAGCGTACTATCCAACTGGAATACCAGATTCAGATCTTAAAATATCTGGCTTTCCCAACAAATTTTGTGGCATCCATGTCCTTTTGGACTTTGTTTCTATACAATCTCACCATGGTGCTTTCCTTCTTATTGACCAGTGCTGCTTTCAAAGAGATGAGATAGAAAAGATGATATCGCCTTTTATAAATCCCCTCACTCTCTTGATTGCCACATTTGCTGTAACACATATCTCTATAATACTTTCAATACCTTTTGGTCAACGTCAGGACTTTTTCTCACTGTTAGTATGACAAATATTTTTATACATATTCTTTATTATAAATTTTACAAATTGCTTTAGGATGTAGCCAAATTCAGCAATTTTAATTGTTCACTAGATATTTGGAATCAATAATAGGACTTAATAAGGTCTACAGATGAATTCTGAATCAGGTTTTGCCATGGTATCAAACTCTGTTTTGAGGAATGAGCTGAAGCATCTTGAAAGTATAGGTCTGTCTCATCATCAGTCCTTCTCTCAGCCACTGAATTTGCTTTTTGTTTCGTGTTTTGTTTAATATAAACAGTTCCTTTCCATGTGATGTTCTTCTGTGTCTGTTCATTCTGTGATATTGTGCTGTTTTCCCTGCCTGTTGGACCACATCCTCTCTGCCTTTGTTATGAGCTGTATTTCCTCAGTATACATGTCAGCATTTCTGAGATCTTGCTCCTCAGTCCTTTTTTTCCCCTTCTGTTCTAGATGATAATTTTTAAAAATACTGCTGCTGCTGTCCATAAATCTCACCCCTCCCAAATGTGTTTACTGTGACCATCTCTACTAAAGCTGAGACTTTTATCTACCATTGACTGGCAGATATTATTTTCTGACAAGTGTCTTATACTTAGCATGTCCATAGCTAACTCAGTCTGTCTCTCTTTTCCCTGTAAGACCACTTTCCAATATTTTCATCCAAAACAAACGAAACATAGAAAACCTTATTGCTTCTGTGGTTATAATAAGGCCAGTGTCCCCCAAATCTTACTAAATTTGTAAGCCATATTCTTGGAAAAGAGTTTAGATTTCCCTTTCACTCATGGATTCTAATCTGTTATTAAGTCCTAGTCCTTCTTTCTGAATATCTCTGCACTTTGTTTCTTTCTTATTAGACTATCCTCTCTCTTGCCTTGACGTTAATTGGCTCTTCTTTGTCTAGTATTGTTTTCCACTTTTCTCTCCTTCTTTAGGAGAATAGTCTTTCTTTCCTTTTTCTTTTTATGTTTGAATAGCACTTTATTCTTTTTTCTAAATATTTTTCTTATATTTTTTATTTATTTTTTTGTTACAAAATTCATCTGCTTTTTCACAGATAAGGATGCCTGGGATCCCAACTTGTCTCTTCCTTTTGCCTCTCAGTCATTGGTGCAGTTGGTGGGGGGGTGGGGGAGTGGGGGAGGTTCTCCGCTAGTTCATCAGTTCAGTGTAACCAGGGGATTCTCAGCTTGGGTCCGTCAGTGTGGGCAGAATCTTCCACTCTCTCAGTAGTTCATGCCCATCAGTGTAAGCCAGGGTTCTTGGCTCTAAAAAGAGCCTTTGGGTCTTCAGTGTTCAGCTCATTGTGAAGTGCAGAAATAACGAGAATAGTCTTTCTTGAATGAAAATCTGCTTGTGGTTCTCCCTTCTTGCTCTTTGTAGTAAAGCCATAGATAGTATCTTGTAATAGTGTAGAATGCTCTTGAGGATTTGGATCTGCTTGGTTCTATTTCACCTACCCCTTCTCCCTCTCACCTACTGTTACATTACAGGGCTGTTTATTATAATACCATGCTATGTTATACTTTTGTGTGTTAGAACAGTCCTTTTCCACTTAGGATTCCCCCACCTCCACCCCCTTATAAAAGATTTCATTATCCTCGGAGCTTACATTCAGAATCATCTTTTCCAGGAAATACACATGACCATCTCAGTAAATTAGATATTTGTTTTAAGCTAGCTGCTTATTTGACAATCTACACATTTATTACATACTTGTAGTAGTTTTAAAATTGTGCTTGTTTTACTAGAATGAAAACTCCTAGAGAGCAGAGATTGTATACCAGTGAGAAGTTTTAATAGTGAATTTGAACTTAACATTGAAGGTAGAATCATTACTACAGGACTGAGAAGAGCATCCCAGAGAAAGATAATTTCATGTTTATCAACAGATAAACAATCAAGAGAGAATATTTGATGACTATTGTTGAGCAGGCAAAGGAGCTAGGAGTAGCAGGAGGTCAGACAAGAGTTGGATTCAGGTACCAAAGACCTTATGCTTTACATGGGGTTTTGTCTCATTACTGTTGACACTGGCATGCTGTTGAATGATTTTAAGCCATGGAGCAGTGTCATCAGATGACAATTTTTCAAAGATAACTGTGCTAGCAGCTTGAAGGGACAACTGAAGGATGAATTAAACAAGAGACTGGGCAGTCATTAAAAAATGTTTGTAAAAAATAAAACTAGAAAATGAGTTATTTTGAAGCAAAGAGTTATATTTGAATTATATCTTTAAGCATGAAAAATAATTGCCCAGTGACTACAGTAGCTCGGAGGCCAGGCAAATCTGGGAGCAAGAAAATGCCTTCTGTTATGGGAGAGACCCTGGTTTCACAATGAATACATCTTCCGTGGCCAGCCAACAAGTTGTAGTTCAAACCCACCCAGCATCTCTGAGAAGTCCCGGTGATCTGCTCCTATGCAGCTGACATCCTGGGAAACCCTGTTGGTCTGTTCTCTGTCCTGTAAGGCCCCCAGGAGCAGGAATTGACTCACAGGTTGCACAGCAACATAGGTTAGATGGAAGTAGGTCATTGTGGGTGTGGTGAGAGAAAAACCTCAAGTCATTGTGCCAGTCTGATTGGTTTGTACTGTATCCTAAAAACATTGGCTATCCAGAAAAAATTTTATAAAGAAAATAATACTATGAAATGGTAGTTAAAATTGTTCTCAGAATTTAATATGTATATTTTAATAGCAGAATGTAACATGAGCTTAGAAACCCTGAGGATTTAGGAGAATGTGTACTAAATGTATGAGATAATTCATATTCACATCTTTATTCAGATTCATCTATTTCATGGCATTGTTCCTAATCTAATTTACCACTGTAGATGCAATTATAAAATATGCTATACTGTAACAAAAAGTAGTCTGTGAAATGATCCATATCAGTAGTAAAAATAGCTTTTTTTTTGAGACACTTTCCTAGGGAGAACAGAATACATTCTCATTTTTCTAAGTGTTGCTCTCACTCATTCCTGTAGAGTTGGTTCTCTTCATAGTTTATCCTTCATTGAGTTTCCCAGTCTGTAGTCAAGAAATAAAGATACTGCACTGGGAAAATCTGCTGTCAGGGACCTTCCAAAGTGTTTAGGAGCAGTGATGTTGAAGCCTGATATTCACTTGATTCAGGCCTTGGTCTTTTCATTCACTAACTGTCTACCTGACAGAAGGACAGTGAATGACAAAAGAAAATTGATGCCTTTGAGTTATGATGTTAGAGTACTGAATGGACTGCCAAAAGAGCAAACAGATACATCTTGGAGGAAGTGCAGAGTGCTCCTTAAAGGCAAGGACGGCAAACTTTGTCTCAGATACATTGAGCACAGTGCTAGGAGAGAGACATTATACTTGGAAATGTGGGAGGTCAGTGAAAGAGATGAAGACCCTCAATAAGATGGATCGACACAGTGACTGCTTCAGTGGGCTCAAGTATGTCAGAGTTGATGAGGATGGCATAGGATAGGACAGGGTTCAGATCTGTTCATACAGTAAATCGTACTGTACTTGAAGGCACCTAACAACAGTGAAATCATATGGGAGGAGCCAGAGAGCCCTGTGCAGAATAGCTCCCTAAAACTATGCCACTAGCACTCTGCAAGTGCTGTTAATTTATTCTTGTTTAAGATCTTCTCAGGTTAATACAAATGATTTTCTAAAGTTCCTATAACTTTTCCATTATTTAGGTTTAATAAGAAACCAAAGAGAGGAATTCAGTACCTCCAAGAACAAGGAATGCTTGGCACTACCCCTGAAGACATTGCCCAGTTCTTACATCAAGAGGAAAGATTAGATTCTGTAAGAATATTGTTTCATTTCACTTTCATCTTTTCTGTAAAACTCCTTTGCAACCTCTTTAATTGTACATATTTTGACCCCTTTAAGATTCCTCAGTATGTAAAATCTGAAGGAAAAGACAGGTGTTACTAAATTTGCTTTGTAATTTTCTAATCTCAGAAATAGCTTGTATTTTATATGTACATACACATTCTGTTTATTTAACTTTAACTTAGTTAACCTCTTAACCAATTAACTTTGATATTTTAACACATTTGCTTTTTAAATGGCTCTGTGAGACGTATAATGTGCTTTGAGGATATCAGTGTCTGTCTTTTGTTCTTTTATTAGACTCAGGTGGGTGAGTTCCTGGGCGATAATGATAAGTTTAACAAAGAAGTTATGTATGCATATGTGGACCAGCATGACTTTTCAGGAAAAGACTTTGTTTCAGCTCTTCGCATGTTTCTAGAAGGTTTCCGTCTTCCAGGAGAAGCCCAGAAAATTGATCGATTAATGGAAAAATTTGCTGCAAGATACCTAGAATGCAACCAAGGGTAAGAAAGATTAAAAATCAAATGTTAGCAGTTAATTATATGCAAGACACTGCACTTGGGGAGCATGTGGCGGTTCAGAGATAACAGGATATGAACCCCTAACCTCATAGAACTTGTCTGTGATTTGGTAATGATAAAAAAGACTGTAGTGGGAAGTAGAACATAAACCCTGTGAGTGAAAATGAAAAGTGCTGTAGGAATTGGGTGGTTGAGATACGTAAATAAAATTATAAAATATAAACGCTTATAACATGGTATACTTATTTTCCAGACAAACTCTTTTTGCTAGCGCAGATACTGCTTATGTTTTGGCTTATTCAATTATCATGTTGACAACAGATCTTCACAGTCCACAGGTATGCTTTCCTATTAGTAAGCTTTCCATTAAATAGGATAAATTCTTTTCAATTCAATGTATAAGTAGGTCTTACTCTGATTTTGGTATGTGTTGCATAGTTTAAAGAATTCACCAAATTGAAGTATATAATTTGGAGTAGTATACACTCTGTAGTCCATTTTCTGTCGTAATTCCATTTGGACTTTTGTTACTGTGTGCCGTTGAGTAGAAACTGACCCTCCAACCAGTTTTTAGAGAGTAAATCACATGGAAGGAGATGACTGATTTTTTTTTTCCCCACAGAGCAGCTTGTGGATTCAAATAATTTGCCATTGGGATTGCAGCACAGCGTTTTACCACTAAGCCACCAGAGCTCCCTATTAGATTTTTAATTCTCTACTTTTGTTGGTCTTATGATTGATAATATATAAAGTAAAGGATGAGATAGACTGATACGGTGACTGGGACAATGGTGGTTGATGTGTTAGAATCAGTGAGACTGGCTCAGGACAGGTTTCAGAACTGCTGTACATAGGGTCTCTGTGGGTTGCAAGTGACTTTAATGACACATCATAACAACATATTCAACTTTAAGAAGATAACTTTAAAATCTTTTTGTCTCTAGTTAAAAGAACATAGAAAAATGCTATATATAAACTTTTTTCCCCCTTTCAGAGTTTTAGACTCAGCACTAGTACAGAGATTATCAGAGAGATGAATCCACTTCCTAAATTACACAGTTATCAGCTATGATTTGGCTTGTTCCTTCCAGTTGCCCTTCTCCCCTAGACACTTTTCAAACAAATCAGATATTATATCATTTTACCTGTGAAATTATTTTCTCCCTTTTAAACATGTCTCTAAAAAGAGAAAGAATTTAAACATAGCCACAGCATCAACACCCTGGAAAAATAAGCAATTTGAAAATACCGACTATTTAAAACTGTTCAAATTTTGGTTTTAACTAAAAAATTTAGTAATTCCTTCTTCATAAATAGGTCCCTGAATTTCTGATACTACTAGTAGAAGAGTCACACTTAAAGTTTTAGATATTCCATGCTTATTTAAAAAAAAATCACACTTTTATGTACTTGGATTAATCTATTAATAGGAAATTTTTAGTGCTACCTAGGGATAGGCATCTAATAATATTTTTTATTCTTTAAAAGTGAAAGAAATGGTATATTTGCTATTCTGAAATATAACTGAAAATTTTAAATTTATTTAAAACATAGGAGGAAAATTTATAATATGCAAAGTTTTGTTTTGAAATGTTTAAGGTACAATTATATGGAAAATATGTATCGAACATGTGACACAGTGTTAGATACAGCATATTCAACAGCTCTTTATTCATCAAAGATGATTTGATTTTATGTAAACTGTTTTCCCCTCTTCAAATTATTTCACATTTGCCTTTTGATATATTATTGACAATACAGTAAACAAAAATATCTCCCCTTTATCATTTTCATTATCCAGTGTGATAACTTTTTTCCTTGTTTTTTAAGTCATCAACAGTTTATTTTTGTTAGTATCAGAGTTTGTAGCCTTATTAGCTGTTTATAAACTACACATACCTTTGTTTTAAAGATTATATTTTTTAAACCACTTGGTTATAGAAAAGACTCTATCATTGACTCTATATTGTTTGGCTGGTGGGAAGCCTCTTGTTGGAGCCAGTGAGAGCTTAGGGCACAGGCCTGGGATCTTTTAAAACTCATGTGGCTTTGGAGAGGTGAGTCCTTCTCTGTTTTGGATGGAAGTCTGCTCTGGATTGTTTGGCTGGCCAGAGCCTCTTGTTAGAGCCAGTGAGAACCTGGGACAAGGGCCTGGGTCTTTTAAAATCAATTGGGCCTTCTGGCCTGCAGGTCTTCAAGCCTGGTTTTAATTGTGTTTGAAATCATTTAAAAGTGTTATATGATAAGGTATTATGGTTATCACAAGAGTCCAGAATTAAGGTTGCATGGTAGAATGTACTCAGGGCAGTGGGAGGGATGTGTGTGGGGATTGTAAACCAAAGAAAGAATTTTTCTTTTACTTTTCAAAGAGAGATATGAACGGGGTGGGGGCGAGGGGAGAGCTGGGCAGGGAGAAAAGTGCAACTATGAATGGATGGAAATCCAAAATCTCTGTAAATGTTCATTAAAAATAATAAAATAAATTTTTTTTAAGAATGAACATTTTCCTAAGTGGTACAGCACTGTTCTGTCATTTCTCTGTATTGACTTAACTTTGGATTGCTATGATAATAGTATGCCATTGGTCTGTCAAATGCCATAATAGTTACACATGGTTGACAATATTTGGTAGAGCTTGCAGATTGAGACAGGCTTGGAAGCAGGAGTGGCATCTACTTCCTAGACATGCCTGTGGAAACTCTTGAACCTAGAGACAGGACAATAGTTAGAGAGCAAGGTTAAGGTCTTTTGTTTCTAGCATTGGTACTAGATGGCACTTAACAACAACAACAATAACATATTGTCTCCATTCTGGAGCTGGATGAACCAGCTGGACTCTGTAAGATGGTGCTCTTGTTTTGGTTGAGGATCTGTGTAGATTGTTTGGTTGTTTTTATTTAAGCCTCTTGTTTAGAGTCAAAAAGACCTCCAGGAGGACACTTGCATTTAAGGCTAAGCCCTTTTCTCCATTTTGGAGACTGGATGAAGATGCTGGAATCTGTAAGGTGTAACCATATGCCTCTGGAAACCCTATGAACTTGAGAAATGATAGTTACAGAAAAGTCTCAAGTCTTGTTCATAGAGTAGCTATGAGTCCTGTGCGACTTGAAGGCAATCAACAATAACTTCTGTGTAGGTACATACTTATCTTATTTTGAAAGCTTATTAAAACTTTCTCTCCTATATTTTTATAAATATCCCATGTTGTTTGTTCTGACCACTTATCAGTTAATCCCCTGAGAATGATGTTGGCTTCATGATAGTAGCTTTGTTTATAGAATATTTCTAGTAGTATTAGTCTTGCAGAAGGAGCTCTGGTGAAGGGTTTTACAATTCTTGGTCTCACAGGTGTAACTGTATGTTATCATTCTTTCTGTTAGACTGCTGGCTTGGATCATGTGCTGTAGCTTTAGAATAACTTGCTAATTTTTGTGATATTGAGTAGCCTGTTAGATAATAGAACATACACTCTTGGCTACTGATGATTTATGGTTAAGGATCATATGCCCTACAGTAAGTTAAATGACAACTTTTTTTAAAGAGCACAGGAACTATAAAGGAATTTCATGAAGGAATTGTCATTCTAAGGTATTTTTTTAAACATTAAAATACAGGTGAATTTTAACAAACAAATCACTAGATTCTTTTTATAATGTGCAGTACTTAATGTTTAAGGACTCTGGTGGCCTGATAGTAAGTAGGAAAATGCATTGCAATCCCAAAGACACACAGTTTGAATCCACGATGGTCAGTCTTCTCCTGTGTGATTAACTGCTTCTGAAAATTTGCCAAATGTTCGACTGTGGGTCACTTCTTACTCAGTGGGTGGCCTTGAACCACGTTTCTTTGGGATTACAGTGCAGCTTCTTGCCAGTAGTCCATTAGCACTCCCTAAACTTATCCTGTTAAGAATTTTTTTAAATTTGAGATATATTTGTTGTTGTTGATGGCCTTCCAGTCGAGCATGACTCATAGCGACCCTATTAACAAAAGGCCTGAAGCCCCTCTGCAACTATTGACATTTATCAAAGTTCATAGTGTTTCCAGAGGCAAGTTGTTTAGGAAGTGGATGCCACTCCTGCTTCCAAACCTGTCATAGTATGTTATTGGTCAAGTCGTCTGTGATACATAGTATGTACAGCATACTATGTATAGCAGCTCTGAACCCTTTCCAAAATATATTTAGAATCGGCTCTGTGTATTTGTTTTAATTTGAGATTTACAATGATTTTTTTATAAATTTGAGATATATTTAGAACTGGCTTAGTATTTTTGTGTGTGGATTAGTCTTCATCAGTTTTTTTGTTTGTTTTTTTTTAAATTTAGGTTGTTTATTTTTCATTTCAATGAGCATCTACAGAGATTTTGGGATTCCATTCATTCATTGTTGCACCCTTCTCCCCGCACAAACCCCTCCCTCCTCCCCCAGTCTTCATCAGTTTTAACAACTGACTTAAAGTAATAATCACATTAAAACTAGACCTAACTTGAGCTTGAGGAAATGAGATAAAGTCATAAATAGAGATGTCAGGAGAATAAAATAATGCTTTCACACTATGTCCCAAACCCTGCTTCAGTAGAGGGTTCTGTTTGAGCACCATGCTTTTGAGTACTGGAAGGAATGTGTTCTCTGCCTCTTTTCTCCTGGGATCCCCACTCTGCCTCCCAACCCAGATTTACAAGCACATTTTATCATTACTTCAGCTTTTCTGCCTACACATCTGTGATTGTGTGACGCTGCATTATTAGTCAGGACTTGAAATATCCAAACAGTGTTCATCTTCTTTTAGCCACTTATTGACAACATTATGTGATCTTTTATTTTGATCTTCTCTGATTACTTTTTTGTTGTTGTTCTTTTCTTTTTCTAAGTATCAAAACTTTGAAAGTAAATCTGACTATAATAAGTTAATGTATCCGGACTATGTCTTCTGTATGTTATTCATTTTCTACTTAATTTTTCAGCTTCTAATTTGCTCTACTAGAGTTTCTAGTTTCACAAGAGTTTTAACTTTAGAGCTACTTTAAATTCTTTCCAGAAGGTGCAAGGATATAAATCTTTACAGGAAGAGGCTGCTCCTTTTTCTCCCTCAAAAAGCTAGTGGATTTGAAGTGCTGATGCTTTGTTTAGCAGTACAACATGTAAAGTACCACACCACCAGAGCTCTTTTGGGGGGATAGTAGAAGTTTATTTAAATAAGCAAACATAGGGAGCTCTGGTGGCCTAGGGGCAAGAAGCTGTACTGCAGTCCCAGAGGTACACGGGTTCGAATCCACCAGATGCTCTGCTGGAGAAGGAGGGGCAGTCTCCTCCTGTACCTGTCAGATCTGATTTGACAGTACATGCACACAAAATAATTTTAAAAAGTAAAAATAAATTAAAAAAAAAAACAATTCTGAGGTTTTGTCCATCTTGGTTCCTGTATATATAAAATGTCAACATTCTGGTTGTCTAAGGAACTATGGTTGTGTAGACAATAATGAGTTGTGCTGCTAACCCAAAGGCCATACCCCTCTGAAAGTTCAAATCCACCAGCAGCTTGTTGAGAGAATATTGGATACTTTTCTCCTGTGTGATTTACAACCTTGAAAACCTGCAGAGATGGTCCTCTAGAGTCAGTTCTGACTCAATGGCAGTGAGTTTGAGTTTGCTTTTTTTTTGTTTGGATTTCCACATTTGGTGACAGTGCTACCACGTTGCAGGCTTCCAACTTGTATTTCACAACTTTCTCAAGGTATGTAGTAGGAAATTCCTTCCCAGGACACTTCTAAAAAGTAGAACGCATCCCAGGGACACTGTCTACATCTCAAAATCATTGAGTTACTGCAGGGAAATGATCTCGTTTTAAATAAAATTCAAGCATTGTTAATCTTGTGTTCATTATAATATAAAATTGGCTTCTAAATCATTATTGATATTTATATGTTCTTTTGAACTATAGTTTGAATTTTTTTGATACATATATGTTGCCAGTGTGAGCACTTTGACCTTATTGTGAGGTGTTGTCAAGTCTCTGGGACTCATAGTGACCTGTGAACAACAGATCAAAACTTTGGCCTGTCCTGAGCCATCCTCACAGTTTCTGCCATGTTCAAGCCCATTGTTGTTACTGTGTACATCTGTCTTGTTGAGGATCTTCTGCTAACCATCAGCCTTTCCAGACATCATGTATCTTTCCAAGGTCTGGTAATTCCTGTCAGTGTGTCCAAAGGACGTGAGATAATATAGAGCTTTGGTGGCCTACTGTGTAAAGTTGTGCTGCCAACCCAAAGTATGTGAGATGAAGTTTCACCTTGTTTGCCTCTTAAGGAGCAGCCTGGTTGTGCTTTTTCCAAGATAGATGTGTTTGTTCTTTGACAGTCCCTGGTATATCCAGTACTCTTCACCAACACCACAATTCAAAGGCATCAATTCTTTAGTTGTCTTTATTTGTTGTTCATTTTTAACACATATAGAAATGAAGCACTTGGCCATAGGCCAATACATCTAATTTCATTTTCTAGTTTCATTTCTTGCATGTATATTCAGAGTGAAGTGAATTTTTATATGCCAGTAGGGTCTTTTTTATTATTATTATGTTTTATTAGATCTATTAGTTTCTACTGCCTATCTTCAAGGTATTTGTGAAAATCTCTTTTGTGATAATTACTTCTTAAAATGCAAGTGACAGTTTTTTATGTTCATTTTAATATTTTATTTTTTTAACAAATTCTAGGTTAAAAATAAAATGACGAAGGAACAGTACATTAAGATGAATAGGGGTATCAATGACAGCAAAGATCTTCCTGAAGAGTATCTGTCAGCCATCTATAATGAAATAGCAGGGAAAAAAATATCAATGAAAGAAACAAAAGAATTAACCATCCCTACAAAATCAAGTAAGCAAAGTAAGTATCTCCTTCAGTTGAATCCTGATTATTGGTTCTTCAAGTTTTTCACTTCAGTTAACATAACTCTGTAAACGTGAATGAGAAACATAGTTTGTTTTTGTTTTTATTAATTTTAATAAACATTTACAGAGGTTTTGGATTTCATTTCATTCATTGCCGCACTTTTCTCCCTGCTCACTCCTCCCCACCATTTCACTCCCCTCTCCGAAAAGAAAAAGAAAAAAAAATTCCTTCATTAGTATACAATTCCCCCATCCCTTTCCCCCCACCACCTACCCCGAGTACACTGTGGAGAAATATGTTTTGATGAAAAGTACTCTAATTACACAAGTTTGGAGAACTGATTCTCTTAGATATTTTTCCCCCAGGCTTAACAAAATTAACAATGACCAATAATTAAGGGAAATGCTATGTAAGTAAGATGCCTGTGTTAGTGTACATTTAATCTACTCTTGATCTTTTAAGCTGAACAAGAATGTAGATTTCAAAGAGGTTGTTGTTGTTGTTAGGTGCTTTCAAGTTGACTATGACTCCAGAGTGACCCTTTGAACAGTGGATTTGAACCTTGCTCTATTCTGTGCCATTCTCCTCATCTCTGATGTACTTGATCCATTGTTGAAGTCTGAGGTTCAGTCTTACCTTGCTGAGAGTAATCCTCTGACCTTCCACCTTTCCAAGTATGTCTCTTCCCAAGGACTGGCCCCTCCTGCAACATGCCCAACGTATGTGAGGTGAAGTTTCACATTTCTTTAAGGAACACCCTGCTTTCCCTTTCTTCAAGGCATATTGTTTGTTCATTTGGTTGTCCATGAAATACTGTGTACTATTTGCAGAATTTAATTCTTAGTCCTTTTTTCCCTGCCTTCTCAACTTTTATCTGCCAGAAGTAGAGATAATTGGAGAGAAGTCTAGGATCTGGGAGAGTTTCTTTAGTGAGAAATCACTACTTCACATGTGCTAGTTGTGCTGCTACCCAAAGGAGGCTGCATCTCACTAGTGGTTTAAATCCTGAGACTAAGGGAGAAAGAAAGACAGGCAATCTATACCTCCCCCAACCTCCAGTGCTATTTATAGCTGTGGAAACCCAAGAGAGGGCCAGCTGCCGTTGATTCCTGCCTGCTCTATTGCAGTGAGTGAGTTGAGTGATCACATCCTGACATCTAACCAGAATGTGAGCCATCTCTGGGCCTTGCACCATTCTGGATAGTCTACACATAGAAATAATATATTACTTAAATGAAATCTTTTAGATTCAAATAGAGCTAAAATGCAATTATAGGAGTGAAGATGAAGAGAATATAGCAGTATTATTGAAAGAGGATTTCTACTAATCTCCTCTCATGTGATTTACACCTTCAAAAAGACATGGAGGGTAGCTATGAGTCCGTTCCAATTTGAAGACAATCATTTGAGTGTTTGTTGTTGTTAAGAGCTGTCGAGTCATAGGCGACTCATAGTGACTATGAAGGAAAGTCCTCAACACTTGTGTGACTTTCGTCCTCTCTCCAGGTTCATAGGGTTTCCGGAGGCAAGCTATTATGGAAGTTGATGCCACTCCTCCTTCCAAGCTTGTTTTAATCGGGAAGCTCCACCAAACACTGTCCACCATGGGTAACCGCTAACACACTTAACACATCAGTGTCACAGTGTTCAGCTTCACAGCAACCACAAGTTACCACTATACGGCAAGTGGAAACACCAGGGGACACACACTTTCATTTGAGTACTTGGAAATAAAATCTTAATCTTTATCTGAAAGGACAGATTGCAGTTAACAAAATTCTCTTGATTAGAAAGAAGCATATAAAGTCTGTGTGAAATAGATATTTGTAAAGTTTAATAAAGAATTTTAGGATCTTTGTAAGGGTTAGTAAATATGTTGGAACTAACAGTGGAATATAACTGGCTGCATTTGGTGGGGAATAATAGCAGGAGTGACATTCACTTCCTAAATAACTTGCCTCCAGAAACTATGAACTTTGATAAGTGTCCATAGTTCTAGAGGGGCTTCAGGCCTTTTATTCATAGGGTCACTGTGAGTTGTGCTTGAGTAGAAGGCAATCAACAACAACAACAATAATAAAAGGAATAATGCTCTGAGAAAGTAAATTCTGCTTCCATTTAGAGATGAGAAAACAGAAGTTGGAAGAAGAAACTTAGAATTTATGACCTGCGAATAGTACTGAAATGGCTTAAATTTCCATTCCAGAAATTGTAAGGAAAAAGTCAAACCTTAAATAGACACCCTATACCCATATTCCAATCAAGTGCCAATCATCAGCTTATTTTTAGCTCTTCTGCTTATAATGTGATATTAATCTGGCCTCCATTTCACACCTAAGTACATAGGTGTTCTTTGATTAACTTTTTCCTTTCTTACCATGTTCCAACATCCTTATAAACCTCTTTTCTATCCATATGGAATAGAAATAAAGCCCCAACATTGGATCTCGAAAGATGGTGTATATTGAAATCCTAAAGTCTCCCTGGAATCACTGTTTTCTCTCACTCAAGAGATGCCACCATGGAAGGATCGGTATCCCTTATCCACTCCTCCATATTTGGATCATTGAGTCAATTTCCTGGTACTTTGATTGGGAATATAGTGTATTCTCTTTTCGCTTTTCATAGAATTTCTACAGCGTCTCTGACTTTTTACTCCAGTATTTTTTTCCTTTGAAGTAAAATTTATGTAACAGAAGTAACAATCCAAAGTAAACAGCTGAGTGCCATTTAGAACATTCGCAGTATTGTGCAACCAAAGTCTTTATCTAGTTCCACAGTGTTTTCATCACCCTAAAAGGAAATCTCATCATACCTGTAGAGAAGCCATTCTCCATTCCCCATTCCCCACTGTTTCCACCCTTTATAGTGGTCGTCAGTCTGCTTTCTTGATAGCTTTACTGAGCATTTTATATATATATAGAACCATGAAAAATGTTATCTTCAGTGTCTAACTTCTTACAGTTATGTTTAGCTAGTTTTCATATGTAGCATTAATTATTTTATAGATGTTACTTAAATTTTCAAACTCTTCGTATTATAAAGTTGTAATACTATTTGTTGTTTCAGATGTAGCCAGTGAAAAGCAGAGACGACTTCTGTATAACTTAGAAATGGAGCAGATGGCTAAGACAGCTAAAGCACTCATGGAGGCTGTGAGCCACGTACAGGCACCATTTACAAGTGCCACACATTTGGAGCATGTGAGGCCCATGTTTAAAGTAAGAGTTACTAATAACTTTTTATTGGGATATGCATTTACATGTAATTTTAATAAAAATATTTTCATGGGATTTTAGTGGTATAGCACACTTAATGAAGCAAAACCCAGCTGATTTAAAAAAAAAAAAAAGAGGGGTTAATAAAAGGCCCCAGGAATAGATGGTATACCAATTGAAGTATTTCAGATAACAGATGTGTTGCCCTGGATGTGCTCACCAAGTTGTGCCAAGAAATCTGGAGAACAACCACGTGGCCAACTGACTGGAAGAGATCTATATTTGTTTCCATTCCAAAGAAGAGTGACCCAACAGAGTGTGGAAACTACAGAGCAGTATCATTGATTTCACATGCAAGCTAGATTCTACTGAAGAGTATCCAAAAATGACTGGAACAGCACATCAGCAGAGAACTGCCAGAAGTCCAGGCTGGGTTTAGAAGGGGTCGTGGTACTAGGGATATTGTAGTTAATGTAACATGGATCTTGGCTGAAAGCACGTTATACCAGAAGAATGTCTTATCTGTGTTTCATTGATTATGCAAAGGCGTTTGACTGTGTGGATCATAACAAACTGTGGCTGACTCTGAGAAGAATGGGAATCCCAGAACATTTGATCATGCTAATGAAAAACCTATACATGGGCCAAGAGGCAGTCATCAGAACAGAGCAAGGAAACACTGCATGGTTCAAAATTGGGAAGGGCGTGCACCAGGGATGTGTCCTGTCTCCATACCTCTTCAACCTGTATGCAGAACAGATTATCCAGGAGGCTGGGCTCTATGAGGAGTAAAGTGTGGTCAAGATTGGTGGAAGATCTATCAACAGTCTGCGATACGCAGATGACACAACCCTGCTTGCGAAAGTGAGGAGGACCTGAAGCGCTTGCTGCAGAGGGTCAAGGACTGCAGCCTACAATATGGATTGAGGCTCCATGTCAAGAAGACAAAGATTCTCACCACTGGGCCAGTTGGCAGCATCAGGATGGATGGTGAAGAGATTGAGATTGTTCACAGCTTTAGTCTACTTGGCTCCACAGTCAACACTCTCGGCTCCAATAGCCAGGAAATTAAAAGACGTATTGCCATGGGAAAGTCTGCTGTTAGGGACCTCTCCAAAGTGCTGAAGAGCAATGGTGTCTCTGGAGACTAAAGTGCGTCTGATACAGACCATGGTCTTTGCAATCACTTATGCATCAGAGAGCTGGACAGTGTCTAGGGAGGACAGAAGGAGAATTGATGCCTTTGAGCTATGGTGCTGGAGAAGAGTATTCAGGCTACCATGGACTGCTAGGAAAACAAACAGATTCATCCTGGAAAGGGTCAAACCGGGCGACTCCTTGGAGGCAAGGATTCTGAGGCTCCGTCTAACATACTTTGGACATGTTGTAAGGAGGGACTGGTCCTTGGAAAAGGACATCATGCTTGGTAGGGTGGAGGGACAGCGCAGGAGGGGAAGGCCCTCTAGGAGGTGGATTGATTCAGTGACTGGGGCAATTGGGATTGGTGTATCGGAGATGGTGCGATTGGCACAGGACAGAGCGGAGTTTAGGACTGTTGTACATAGGGTCGCTATGAGTCACAAGCGGCTCGATGGCACATAACAACAACAATAAAAAACAAAACCAGACTTATTACCATTAAGTCATTTCCACCTCATAGCAACCTTGTCGGACAGTTGAACTTTACGGAAGCAGATTCCATATCCTCATATGGAACATCTGGTGAATTTGAACCTCCAGCATTAAATTTAGAAGCAGAGCATTTTAATTACTGTATCAGCAGGAGCCTTTTGTTTAGGATGTATTGTTGTTGCTAAGTGCCGTGGAGTTGCAGGCAACTCATAGCGACCCTATGAAGGAGAGTCCTCGATGCTTGGGCGTCTCTCATCCTCTCTCCAGGTTCATAGGGTTTCCGGAGGCAAGCTCTTACAGAAGTGGATGCCACTCCTGCTTTCAAGCTTGTTTTAATCAGCGATTTCCATCCCACTCTTTGTCCACATTGGGTAACCACCCATTAACACACTTGACACATTAGTGTCACAGTATTCAGCCTCACAGCAACCACAGGTTACTGCTGTATGGCCACTTGTACACAAGGGCTATACGACCTAGAGGACTGTTTGAACAAAAACAATGAAAGACAGCCCCGAGGGCCGTGGATTAGAAGTCATCCACCTTTGGCTTGGTAGCATCGCTTTCTGCCCACTAGGCCAGCTGATCTCTCCCTCTGTGTTGATGTTATTGTTGTTAAGTGACCCTGTGAAGGAGAGTCCTCAATGCTTGGGTCTCTTTCATCCTCTCCAGGTTCATAGGTTTTCCAGAGGCAAGCTATTACAGAAGTGAATGTAGCATATAAAATTTTTCTCTTGTTAAAAGAAAAGGTATGCAGTATTTAGGGAGCTCTGCTTCTCTAGTGGCAAGAAGCTACACTATAATCTAGAAGGCCGCAATTTGAGGCCACCAGCTGCTCTGCGGGAAGAAGGATGGGCGGTCTCCTCCCTTGTGATTAACTGCCTCTGAAAACCCACTGGAGGGTCAGCTATGGGTTGCTTCTGACTAGACAGTGCTCAACAACAACGTCAGTTTTTAGAAGAAATTCAGTTAAGAATTAAAGAGGTTTTAGAAAATGATCATTAATCCTTCCTCTGATATTCACTATATGAGTTCTATTTATACCTTTAGCTTTAAGTATTCCTGAGTCTGTTGCTTTTTCTAAGTGCCTCTGATTCAGGAATTAAATTGAGAGTATAGATTATACCTGAAGCCCGTAAACTTGAGCAAGAAACAAAAACATTTTTATTTTATAAGCGGATGGATATTTCCAGTTTTTTAAAGTTTTGGTTTTCCATTCTCCTATTCTTATTTTCTCCTTCAAAATTTCAGTGTAAGTGGAGATGTAACGTATTGATGATGATAAGGCAGTGGAGGAAAGTCTTGTCAGATTTGAAAATGGAAAGTGGGTAAAGTCTAATTCAGATTGTGAGGCAGTCCTTAGTGCCCCAAGATCATAATTCGAGTTCTCATTCACACACAGCTGCATACATGTGCAGTAAGGAGGCTATAAAACGGGATCTTCCTTCTGGCCTAAGATTGTACAGTTATCTGTATACCTATTGTAAGGTCAAAATGATTTTGTAGACCAACTTTATATTGTGGGTATTTTGTGTTTTTAAAAAAGCTCTGGATAATTCTGTTTTCTTAACTAGTGTTAAAACTTTATAGAGCTTTAAAAAATTTCATTTGTTATTTGTTATTGTAGAACATCAGTACAGTCCTATTTCATTTTCAAAGTTCTGTGTGTATTTTGTTTCTTTCTTGATGATGTTACTAAAGTAACACATGCTTTGAGCATCAGATGACATTTCATTATTGAATATATTTATACAAATATATAGAAACTCTGATGCATAATGTGTTACATGGTGCTCTATTAACTGAAAGGTAACATTTTGAAACTACCAGCTACTCTGAGGGAAAAAGATAGACATTGGCTCCCATAAAGATTCATAACCTCGGAAACTGACAGAGGGTCTCTATGTTTTAGAATCAACTCGACGAGCAGTGGGTGATATATATAAACTTAAAAATATATGAAGAGTTTTTAGGAGTCCAGTGGGCTGTGATGGTGTAGTGGATAGGGACTAACATGATGGCTCTGAGGGAGAAAGATGGGCAGTCTCCTCTCGAGTCCTTTACAGCCTCAGACACCCAGTTAGAGGGTCACTGAGTTAATTCCATTCCTATGCAGTGGAACTCATGTTGTTGTTATTTGTCATCTAGTCACCTGCAACTCATAGCAACTCTATGTACAATGGCCCTAAACCCTGCTCTATCTTGTGCCAATCTCATTGTCTAAAACATACCTACCTTCATTATCCCAGTCACTGAATTAATCATCTCATCCAGGATCTTCCTCTCTGGTGCTGTCCCTCCACCTTCCCAAGCATAACGTCCTTGTCCAATGACTGGTCCGTCCTTGCAACATGTTATTTTAAAAATAAACTTGATATGAATGTGCCACAAGAGTATGCCAAGAATTTGATAAACTCTTTTTTTTTTCCTTTCCCTACAACTTTCCTCAAGTGTCCTAACTTCCAAAACCCCTAAGAATTATTAATATGGAATTATCAGAATATTTTCTTCTTGGTTGATGCCCATTTCATTCTTTAAATTCCTACATTTTCTAGTTGGCATGGACACCTTTTCTGGCTGCATTCAGTGTGGGTCTGCAAGATTGTGATGATACTGAAGTAGCTTCTCTTTGCCTGGAAGGTATAAGATGTGCAATCAGAATTGCATGTATTTTCAGCATTCAGGTAACAAAGAATTTTACTTTTGTAGCCAGCCTAATGGAGATTACTTATGCTATTACCGTGATTTTATTTGCAATAATTATTTTATATTTGACTTACTAAAAATTCATTTTGAATTTATGATGGAATTTAAGGTAATCGTAATATTAAGGTTAATTTTCTCTTTACCCATAGAAGGAGTTGCCCTCTGTTGAAGGATCTAATAGTCATATTAATAATTTTGCTATTTATTTCTGTGAATAATTAGCAGTTTAAGGTATTTCCAAGACTTTAAATTCCTATATGATTACTTCAGTAACTTGTTTCCTGTTTAGACTCACTGAATCATGTTAATCTAACTTTAAATCACTTTGTAACACTACCTAAACCAAAGAGCAAGATCTCTTCAAAAGTTACTGTGTGCCCAGTTTGTGCTTTCTTATGTACATTATCCCTTCTAGGATTTTATATGCTCTGTCTCATAATTTTCACTCTACTGGGTTTTTCCCCCATGATTTTATAAACAAACCAGATTTGCATTTAATTACAAATTATATGGCTTGAAAATCATAGCTTAGCCATAGAGGAAAAGAAATCAGCAGATTTGTAAAACAGTTTCTGTTTAGTCTCCACTGTATTGAAACATAAATAATGATTCCTTTTTAATTCTGTGAATTCATTTAGTATCACTAACATTTCTTAATTTGAATCTGTATCATCCTTGGATTTTAGAAATTTTACATCTTTTTTTACTTTCACATCTTAAAATATTTTTAAACTATTGTTCTTTGGAATTCTGTATGCAATTCATCGAAAGTTAAAATTTGCAAACAAGATTTGACAATAGGAAATAAAAGATCGCTGTGCTGTATTTACATCCATAACAATATGGTTTTCTCTTACTTATAGTTGGAAAGAGATGCATATGTCCAAGCACTTGCAAGATTTACCTTACTCACCGTGAGTTCTGGTATTACAGAAATGAAGCAAAAAAATATTGACACAATTAAAACTCTCATCACGGTAGCTCATACAGATGGAAACTATTTAGGAAATTCATGGCATGAGGTATAAGCACTATCCCTATTTTTAATTTTTTTAAATTGGTTTTTAAAATACTAATAATTTATAAGGGCCATGCCTTAATGTTTTAGAGGGAAGACCAATTTACTTTTTACATTTGTAATTTACTTTTAGGATAATTACGTTTAGCTTTTTATATTGACATAATTTGATGTACACTTAAAATGCTTCTACTTGTATTTAAATATTTTTATGACAGTTTTTACATGGATTTTATTTAAATTTCTTTTTCCTAATTAAGATTCTGAAGTGTATCAGTCAGTTGGAGCTGGCACAACTGATAGGAACTGGCGTGAAACCCCGATACATATCTGGAACAGTGCGAGGACGTGAAGGATCTCTTAGTGGAACAAAAGATCAGGCACCTGATGAATTTGTGGGTCTAGGGCTAGGTGAGAATTTTAAAAGTTAATTTCAGCTCATTCATTCCATATAACTTTATTGTAGAAATGCATTAAAGTTGTAAGATGATAAAATGCTCTGGCTAACTTTATGAATAAAAAGCCAGGTGAGTAAGTTGGGAACTAAATATTTTTTGCTTGGTCTGTTTTATGCAACATTAAATGAGCCTTACTCTTAACCTTCTTATTATAGGGATATGAAAAGAATGAAGTGTACAACTAATTTAAAATAAAACAACTTACTGGCAAAACTAGGTAGATAATTTAAATATATGAAGGTTGACATAAGAGTATAGAGAATTTGAGCAACTGGAAAGTGCATGCACATTCAGAAGTTCTGAAGGCACCATGTAGGCCCAACCAAGCACTTCTGGCAGTATAAAACTTGTCCCCTAGTTTCCTATATTCTATACTTTCCTATATTCTCCTCCCTATCAAAACTGGTTCTATTTTGATATAAGCACACTTAAGTTTTCAGTAATTTCAACTAATAAGGTCCATTTCAACTACTACATAATCAGTACACTATATTATAGTTGTAAACATGTCTATCCTGACAAATTATTAACTTTGTGAAGAGGAAGAACTTTACATCTTCACTTCCTTAAGCAGAGTTAAAGTACACTTAGTTTAAATGAAATTGTTTAGTTGATCATCAAGTATTTGGTGAACACCTGATTTGTACTTAATATTGAGAAAATTAAGGAAATAAAAGAAAGAAATAGATTAACTGCCTCTGAAAACCCTCTGGAGAGTCAGCTATGGGTCGATTCCAACTCAACAGTACATAGGTATATATATACACACAAACATATACACATACATACATACATACATACATACATACATACATACATACACACACACAAAGCATGATTTATAGCTTTGGTAACTTTTATCTGGTTGCAAAGGCATTATCAACACAATGAAACTAATTTCTCTCGAACTGTATAGGAAAATTTTTATTTGCCTAGTTCAGAAGAAAGGAGCCCTGGTGTTACGGTCGCTATTGAACTTGACCTTTTGATTACTGAACCAAAAAGTCACTGATTTTAACTCCCCAGCTACTCTGCAGGAGAAAAGATGTGGCCAAAACTGGTTTTCTTTGAAGAAAGAAATGCTAGTCTTGAAATTTTATAGGACATTTCTACTCTGCCTTCCAGGATCACTTTGTCAGAGGTGACTCTGTAGCAATAGATTTTGGTTTCAAGTAGATCAGAGAAAGGTGATGAGATCCTTTATTGAGAAACCAAATTGAGTCTTTTTGCTTGTTGTTAGGAATTGAGTCTAGGTAGATAAATTTTTAGATAGTTGAAGCATCGTGTGAGCAAGAGACATGTATTAGCTAGAACCTTATTTGCTCGGTTGAAATGCTTGTATTTTATACTGTAAGTAGTGGTAACAAAATTAATATAATAATCTAAGAAAATTAACCTGGCAGGAGAATGTGAGAAGAAAGAGGAGAAGAACTAAAAGAGAAATGAGCTGGAACCTATTGCAGTGGTCTAGGCAGTAATTATGAGGGTCTTGAGTAAATAGATCAAGAGGAATACTTTCCATAAGGTATACTGACAGAATGACTACAACAGTGGGTTTAAGCCCAGCAGAGAGTGTGCACTGCCAGAATAGGGCAGGGTTTATGCTGTTTTACAAAGAATCCGTATGCATTGGAACCAACTGAACAGCATCTAACAGCAACAGGAGTAAGTTGTTATTGAGTGCCACCAAGTTGACTATGACTCGGAGCAACCCTGTGAACAATGCTTCTGAACTTTCCTCTTTCCTGTGCCATTCTCATCATCTCTGATATACTTGAGCTCATTGTTAACAGTCACTGTGTCAGTCCATCTTGTGATGTCTGTCACTCTTTGAGGATGGGCCTTTCCTAATAGCATGGCCAAAATATGTGAGACGGAGTTTTTCTATACTTACCTCTAAGGGTTAAGAAGAAGTGGAAATTAAAAGATGATATGAAAAATAGGTTAAAAGAAAAACATCTTGAGTTCAGTGACTAAATTAAATATTTAAGAAAGAGGAAGGGAAATCAGAGATGGTTCCAAATGGAAGAGTTTTAAAATTAGGGAACTTGCTGTTCTTCATTTCTAAAAATACGGTATTAGTTTTGGAGGAAAAGATAATCTTTGAACATGTAGGTAACAATTTCCAGTAAACAGCTGCATACTGGATACTAACTGTCTGAGTTTGAGATATGTAGAGTTTGGAATCATCAGAAATTACAGTTGAAATTGGATTAGGTCTATATGTATCTTAAACAGTATGCTTAATATTATGATCTGAGTTCTTAGTCCGTCTACATGGTATGATTTTTGCAAACACAGTTTGTGTCTTTGTAACTAAATAGTAATAAACTACTTAATGTATTTCACTAAGTATCTTGGTAAATGTCATTGATGTCAAAAGAATTATTTACTCAAAGCCTTTTTCTCATTTAAATGGGAAAGAATTTCTTTCAGAAATGTGTTCTAGAACTGCAAGTGTAGTCTTCTGGGGCATTATTTTAAAACTAAAATGAGTCCCTTTCTGTGTGGTAGTTGGAGGAAATGTGGACTGGAAGCAGATAGCAAGCATTCAGGAATCCATTGGAGAAACCAGTTCTCAAAGTGTCGTCGTTGCTGTAGATAGGTAAGATAACTCATTTTATCCCCTATTCTGTTTTCAGATGAATGCTATTTCAATTATGTAATATTTAGATATATTTTGTTCATTAGTGAAAAGATAAATATCGACACAATAATTATTCTAAACTAATATAGGACTATACCACTCTATGGTGTAATTTATTTGATGAAGAACCTATAATTTTGTTGTAGACAAGATACTGTGCATTCAGGATGGTAAGGCTGGAGACTGATTTAGTTTTATAAATTAATGGAAGATAGGAAGGAGATAAACAGTACTGTATTTTCCCTAATATCATGTGCATGGTAGTAACATGCATATACACACAATGTGCATAACACATGGCAAATTAGATAATGTGCATAGTAACACAGGAAACTCCAAAATGAGGTGGCCACAAGGTTTGCAGAAATTGTGTGACTGTTACTCATAGGGAAATAACAATGTAAAATTTTAAGTTACAAATACTACTAGTTATTAAGGGATTTGTTACTTCTGTGAATAGAACACACATGTTTGTTTTCCTTTATCGAATTCTTTACTATTATGTGTTTGAAATTACACCGTTACTGTCTTTCTGGGTTCTTGTTGTCATACTGCATTATGGGTACAATGAACGAGATTTTTCTAGTAATTCTTACTATAAGCATCTTTGAAAAAGGATTTTTAAATTTACATTATCAAGTTTTTCTAAATTTTAACTTTCCAAGTTTCAGGGTTTTTTTGTTCCTTGTCTTGTTTCTCATACTTCTGTAGTTGTAGTGACATTTGGTTATAGCCATTGCCTTCAAAGAAAATAACTCTAATTCTAGTAAAGATCTATTCTAGCAGTTTTCCTTTTTTGTTCATATAGATTTTTTACATTTTATGTTTTTCATTTCTTGTTTTATTCTAACCATTGGACAAATGAGCCATTCTTTTACCTCCCACACCATTGTGGTTTCACCTAGATTTTTTAATTTTGTTACACTGACAAGAGTGATGTCATAAATCTTAAGACATTTCTTTACTAGAGAGTTAGAGTTTGAGTTATCATGTAATTAGTTTTTAAGTTTTTCTTTCTTATTTTTATTACTCATTGCCAACATGCATAGGCATTCAAGGACACTAACTAATTATGTAATTAATTTTGTAAGATAAATATATGAGAATGATTATATAAAATGCAATATGAATAAATAAGTAACCCCCAAAATCATAATATCCTCTTTAGAGGAAGCTATAGTGGCCTCCTAGAAGTTGCACTGCCAACTCAAGAGCAAGTGATACTAATCCACCAGCTACTCTACATGAGAAAGATAGACAGTGTCCTCCTGTACAATTAATAGCCTCTGAAAAATCTGCTGAGGGTCAGGATAAGTTGATTCCATCTCTACAGCACACAGCAGCAGCAACATTCAGCAACATTTAAAAGTAGTGGTGGAGAGAAGGAGTAAGAGTCCTGGTGGTACAGGAGTTGAACATTTGGGTGTGAACTTGAAAGGTCATCCATTCAAACCTTCCAGCCACTTTACAAGACCTGATAGTCTGCACCTATAAATATTTCAGTTTAGGAAACCCAGAGGTCAGTTCTACTCTGTCACATATCATCACTGTGAGATGGAGTTAACTCAGTAGCATGCAACAATAGGAAAAAGCATGAATATGTTTTAATTTTTAAAATATTGTTTTGTTCGGGAAGGTATGAGGCAGTATAACGTAATTGTTCTGTTTTAAATCTTGGCCCTTGTACTTTGTTAGTTCCGTGACTGTGAGAAAGTTATAAATATTTTTATGCTTCAGTTTCTTTGTCTTTAAAATTGGTAAAGGTACATCTCTCACAGGATACTTAGGAAGAGTAAATGAGTATATATATATATATAAAGTACAACATATGGTTCCAAACTGAGAAGATGGTTATAAATGCAGCTTTTTAAAAAAGAATTAATGTACTTATGCTACAGTTTTCATGAAAAAATTTATGTATACTTTAAGAGTTAGTTGTTGAAGGCTGAACAGAGCTGTACTGCATAACTTGCTTCCAAACATTTAGATGCCCCATGAAAAATGGCCTTACCACTTTTTGGTTAATCTGTGGGAGCTTATTTACAAAGTTATATTAAATAACTTTAAAATTGTTGTCCATGAATTTTATCATAAAACTGAATATTACTAATTAAAATTTGTTTATTGCTAGTAGACAAGGAAGCTTTAAAAATATTTTCTTTAGTGCTCGCTTTGTCAGCACATACACTAAAATTAGAACAATGCAGGGGAAGATTAGCATGGCCCCTGCTCAAAGAAGACAAGCAAATTCATGAAGCATTCTATACTTTTGATAATGCTAAAAAAATATTCTTTAGTATTTTGCTAGCTATTTGTTAGTTTTATCAAGTTACTGTTCTTATTCGCAGAAAGTAATTAGGTAACCTCTAAGGTCTTTGTAATCAAGAAAAATGTCCACTGTATAATTGAACTCTAAATATATTACTGCATGCATAGCAATATGCATGAGATTGCTGGTGGGAGGGGGGAAAAAGTCAGCTAATCCCAAACTATATGGTAAAAAAGAACCTGCAGACTTAGATTTAAACATTTTCTTCCAAATAGATTTTAATGCATTATATTTCCGATAATCTGCATGTTTTGTAAGGCTTTTTGGTTTTGCATTTGGATTTTCTTCAGGTTTTTTGTTGTTTTAGGCAAACTGTATTACCTTGAGTTCATTTCCTATGCATGTTATATATGTGGGTGTTGGTCTAGTAGGTGTGTTCTATATGAAAACCAGGTAATTGTAGGGTTTTATTTTTCCCTAGAATATTTACGGGATCCACAAGACTAGATGGAAACGCTATTGGTATGTATATACATTTAATCCACTTACAAACTGACTTTTGTGATTAACAGCCCATATGTCCAATCACAGTCAAATGGTTTGAGAAATTATGCTACATTCACACAGTGGAATACTATGGAACATGCAGGCGCAATGATTTTAAAAATCACTACATAACTCAGGAGGGACTAGAAAGCATTATGCTAAGTGAACTAACTCAGTCCCATAAGGACAAATATTAAATAAGACCATTATTGTTGAAAAAGAAAGATAACTAGTAAAATATGTAGATCCAAGGGAGAGAGGGTAGGACCAGAGCAGTGAGGATAGGCAGGGAGGTAGTCAAAGGGTTGCACAATTTGATAGGTGGAGGAAGGAGTGGGTAGAGGAAGTGGGAAAGATCTGGTGTGAAAAACAATCTATATGAACTTTGTAAGTAAACCAATATAATAGGATTTTCTTAAAAAGTCTTTAAAGGTAAGCGTATGCTGATATGTGCATGTGTTTTAATTAGACCAATGCAATTTATTATAGCAAAATTATTTTTAATGTGAGTGACAGCTGTGGTTTTGTAAATGTAAATTTCTTTGTATTATAGTGGATTTTGTCCGCTGGCTCTGTGCTGTGTCTATGGATGAATTACTTTCGACTACACATCCAAGGATGTTTAGTTTGCAAAAAATAGTAGAAATATCATATTATAACATGGGAAGAATAAGATTGCAGTGGTCTCGGATTTGGGAAGTTATTGGCGATCATTTTAATAAGGTATTTAAATAGTTATATTACTTGTTTTACATTTATACATTGTATTAAACATACCAATCTACGTTATAAATTTTTTCTCTTTTTTCCTCATCAATTGTGTCTTATTTTTTATAATTAAATTTAGAAAACCCCTTGATCCCTTTTGTAAAAGAAATATATTCGCTGGGTTTTAAGAGTTTAATTAAGATTTCTGTATTGAACATGAAGAAATGCTCAGAAATCACTGGCATTTAGGGAAATACAAATCATAGCCACAATGAGATACCATCTCAATGCAGTAGCAGTGACAAAGTTTAACAGGTCAGCAAGTAATAAGTTTGATGAGGATGTGGAGATATAGGAACTCTTATACACTATTGGTGGGGTTGTAAAATGGTACAACTACTCTGGAAGGCAGTTTAGCATTTCCCTAAAGAGTTGAACATAGAAAATCCATATGACCCAGCTATTCCACTTCTTGGAATATGTTGTTGTTAAGTGCCATCGAGTCGTAAGCGACTCATAGCGACTCTAAGAATGAAAGTCATTGACACTTGCATGCATGACTTTCATCCTTTCTCCAGGTTCAGGTTCATAAGGTTTCTGGAGGCAAGCTATTTATGGAACTGGATGCCACTCCTGCTTCCAATAAACCCTTCCAATATACCTGCTTCCAATATACCTGCTTCCAATACACTTGGAATATACCCTGAGAAAATTAGAAATGAGACACAAATGGAGATTTGTACACTAATGTTCATAGCAGCATTATTCACCATTGCAAGAAAATGCTCAGATGTCCAAGCACAAAGGAATGTATTAAGAAATTGTGGTACATTCACATGATGGAATACTACGCAGTATGCAGGAGCAATGATTTCAGAAATTATTACCTAACTTGGTCGGGTAGATCATAGAGATTAGAGATCATTGTGCTAAGTGAACGAACTCAGACCCATAAGGATAAATACTGTATAAGACCATTATTGTTGAAATAGAAAGATAACTGGTAAAACAGGAATGCGGATCCAAAGAGGGGAGGGTGGGAGCAGGCAGATGAGGATGGGTAGGGAAGTAATCATAGGGGCACACAATTTTATGGGTAGAGGGCAGGCTGGGTAAAGGAAATTGGAATAATATGTTTTGAAGAACAATGTATGTGAACTTTGTAAGCAAACAAGTATAAAATGAAAATTTATTTTTAAAATGTTTAAAAAAATCAAAAAAGATACCTGTGCTGAGTATTCCATGGACTGCCTACAGAAACATATATGGCTTGGGAAAAGTGCAGCCAGAGTGCTCCTTGGAGGTAAAGATTATGAAGGTTCTTCTCACATAGTTTGAGCATATTACTAGCAGAGACTATTCCTTGAAGAGGGAAATCATATTTGGAAGGAAGATGAAGGGTCAGCGAAAGAGAGGAAGACCTTCACTGAGATAGATTAACACAGTGACTGTAACAGTGGGCTCAGGTATATCAGAGATGATAAAGATGGCACAGGAGGAGAGGACAGAGTGCACATCGGTTGTTCCTTGGGTTGCTATGAACTGGGGTTGACTCAACAGCACTTAACAATAATTACCTGCTTTATCTTGGTAAGAAACATTGTTAACATAATGCTCCTACTTTTATAGAGAATCTTAGGATTTACCTACCTATACGTTGTATTTTTAATGTATTTTTTTTCTAAAACAAAATTAAAATTTGTAGATTTTCACAGCTCACATTCAGGTCTTTTCTTGTTCCATTACAGGTTGGCTGTAACCCTAATGAAGATGTAGCTATTTTTGCAGTAGACTCTTTGAGGCAACTGTCAATGAAATTCTTAGAGAAAGGAGAACTTGCTAATTTCAGATTTCAAAAGGATTTCTTAAGACCTTTTGAACATATAATGAAACGAAACAGGTATTAAATTTATTCAGTTGCCTAAAATCAGAAAAAATGCCTATTATTTCCCACAATAGGGGAGAAAATAAGTTGATGAGTTTTATCTACCTACATATCCATGCATTTATATTCATGTTATAGGTCTCCTACAATTCGAGATATGGTTGTACGATGCATAGCACAGATGGTTAATTCTCAAGCTGCTAATATTCGTTCTGGATGGAAGAATATTTTCTCTGTATTTCATCTCGCTGCATCTGATCAAGATGAAAGCATAGTGGAACTTGCATTCCAAACAACAGGGCACATTGTTAGTGAGTATCATTTTATCCATGTCTAACTTACTAGTATCTTTTTTCTTTCTTATTAATTTTAATGAGTTTACAGAGACTTAGGGTTTCCAGTCATTCATTGTTGCGCTTTTCTCCCTCTCCATCCCCTCCCCCCAAATTCACTCTTCTCTTTCAAAAGAAAATGAAAAACAAGTATCTTCTGATTAAAAAAAATGGATTGATTACGAGGCCAGGGGACTGATGAGGTTCTTTTTTCTTTTTAAATTATTCTGAGTACGAACTTAGACAACAGAAGATTTGCTTATTTTGAAGCTGAGAAAAAATAAAGGCAGCCTAGCTAAAATTTTCTTTGGCACTTAGAGAATTCAGTGTAACTTCATGCTTGGTCTGAATAACTATTTTTCTTTTTTTAGTTATTTCAGTTGATTTAGGAGTGCTGGTTATACAGTGCATAACATACTGCATTATTAGCCAAAGAGTTGGCAGTTTAAACCCACGAGCCATTTTGAAGAAGATGGGCAGAATCCTCCATTGAGATTCACAGCCTCAGAAACCTGGAAGGGTTTCGGAAGGTCGCTGTGGGTTGGAACCAACTTACGGCAGTGAGTTTGAGATTCTGTGTTTGTTTTAGTTAGCTTCCAGAGCTCTAATGTGTTACATGTCAGGTTGCTGACCATAGAATTCACAGTTGTGATCCACCAATCATTCCACAGGAGAAATAGAAAGCGTTCAGATCGTTCAGTGATTTACAGACTTGGAAACCAAATGGAAAGTTGTTATCAGTCCGTATTGGCTCTTCAGCAGTGGGGGTTTTGTTTTAGTTAGCTTGTCTTAGAACCCATTGCTCTTCTACAGTAACTTTTAAGAGGGAATCATGGCAAGAACACAGGTGTGGGAGTCATACCATCATGTGTGCTGGTCACTTTTAATACTAGGGTGTACCTGACCCAAGCCATGATATTTTCAGTTACTTTATATGCATGAAGAACAAAGAACTGATGCCTTTGAATTGAGGTGTTGGTCAAGGATATTGACTGTCCCACGGACTGCCAGAAGAACAAATCTGTCTTTGAAGAATTGCAGCCAGAATGATCCTTAAAAGCAAAAATAGTGAGACTTCACCTCACGTGTTTTTGAGCATGCATTCAGGAGGATCCAGTCCCTGGAGAAAGAAGCACATCGTGCCTAAGAGTAGTCATTGGAAGAGAGGAAGACCCACAGTGAGATGGATTGACTGCAATGGTGGGCTTAAGCACAGAGGTTATGAGGATGTCAGAGGCCAAGACAGGATTTTGTTCTGTTGTACTTGCTTCTCTTTTACAAAGGGTCCTTATGTGTCAGAGTCTGATCAACAGTGCCTAACAACAAGAGGTTATTAACGTAAAACACAAAGAAATACACAAAGTAGAACCTGTTAAAAAAGGTGAACCCAAGTTTTATGTCATTAGGGCCTGTTTGATCTTCAAGTTTTCAAAGTTTTACTGGGAGAACCAGTGTGAATAATAGTATTTTTATAGTTAGCATTTGTTATTCTTTCTAATTTTTTTTTATATCCTCACAATAATTTTCTGCAGTGAGTACCTATTAGAAATTTTTTACACCTAAATTTAATCCAGTGCAAGGGAAATTGAGCAATTGGCATAAAGTCTAGTGAGTGATAAATCTGAGATGTAAGGCCTAGGAACTTAAAGCCTTTGCTTTTCACTCTTTGTTAGAGCCTCCTTTGACTTTTTTTTTAAATATAATTTTTAAATGTTGAAAAACAAGATAGCGAATAAGTGAGATTTTTTTTTTACCTAAGTGATATTATATAGTATCTTCAAACTTCTTTTGTGTACTACTCAAGTGAAATGTGCCTTATTTTTTCTAATTAACAGTAATTTCATTGTATATATGTCACTGGTTTGTTTTTGTTTTTTGGGTCTTTTTTTAGGGAAAGATTTCTCAGTTTAGTTGATTTTAACTCTGTCTACATTTGATGTCTAAATATGTGTTTAGTCATCTGTAGAAAATAGAATACATTTCTAAAAGTTAGTTTGTCTTTACAGTTTATATAAGAAAAAATTATCGTCATTCTTAAAGTTACAGGGAAAGTATTATTGTATAAATTAATCTCATAAGAGCTTCTCCAGAGAGAAAAGATGAGTATTATCTGAACACAGTACAAACTTGTTTTAATGAGGTTGAATATATATTATTCACATTCAATTTTTACAAGAACCCTACAGTTCACTTTTTTAATGCAACTTATATTTTTTTACAGCATATTCTTTCCATTTAGTTTTTTCCCCATTCATTCATTGTTGCACATTTTTCCTCCCTGCCACTCTTCTGTCCTAGTTTGTTTTTCTCCAAAAAGGAAAAAAAAAATTCTTTCGTTGTTATACAATCTCCCCCACCCCCCATCCCCAAGTTCACAGTCCACTTTACTGTGCATTTCTTTTTTCTGGAATCTTGTCATGAAAATAATGCCTAATTCTGTATTCCTTTTAAACAGTTCTTTCCCTCATCTCTTTCAATGCAGTATACATTATTTAACCCCTTTTCTTAGTTTCCCCTTCAAACCCAGAATCAGTCCCATTTTACAATAGTGGCACTATGAAGTATTTGTCCTTTTGTGACTCACATATTTCACTCAAGATAATGTCCTCCAGGATCACCCATTTTGTATAATATTTCATGAGTTCTTTGGTTTCAAAGCAGCATCGTATTCCATTGTGTGAATAAACCACACTTTCTCTATCCATTAATTTGTTGATGGGTACTTTGGTTGTTTCCAACTCTTTGCTATTGTGAACAAAGCTGCAATAAACATGGGTGTGCATATATCTGCTTGGGTGGCAATTCTAGTTTCTTTAGGGTATATTCCCAGTAGTGGAGTTGCTTGGGTCAAATGGTATTTCTATTTGCAACTTTTTGAGAAAGCGCCATCCTACCTTCCATAGTGGCTGCACCATTTTACGCTCCCACCAACAGTGAATAAGGGTTCCAGTTTTTCCACAACCTCACCAGCATTTGCTTTTTGCTACTCTGTTGAATTTTGCTATTCTTACTGGGGTGAGATGATATCTCATAGTTGTGCTGCCTTTGACTTTAAGGGACATAGTAAGGATATAAATTAGCCCTGTGCACATGATGACAGTATTGATGACTTAGTAATGATGACTTAGTTAAAGCTGTCATTTCCTCAGTGTTTGCTTAAGGTAAGCATTGTGCTAAGTATTTTCCCTTTGTTATTCTCTATAATGCATACAGCTATCACTGTCCTCTTAGGTCATTAATACAAAGATTAAATAAAAGCATTTGCTGATTCAACAAATGTTTAATCAGTGTCTACTGGCTATGCCGGTCAGTATGTTAGATGCTGGGTTTATAGAGTGAAAAAAAGCATACAATTCCCTGTCCGCACTTCCTAATGTGGTCAAGTAAGTGATAGAGACAGTCTTGAACCTCAGATCTGTTGAGTGTCAAACCTTTAACGATCTTTAAAGAATTCAAACATTAAGTACATAGGCTTTGGTAAAACTAAGAGTAATTTAAAATGATAATTTTTTAATGTACTTTTCTCTCTTTTAGCCCTTGTGTTTGAAAAACACTTTCCAGCAACCATTGATTCTTTTCAGGATGCTGTGAAATGTTTGTCTGAATTTGCATGCAATGCGGCCTTCCCAGACACAAGTATGGAAGCAATTAGACTTATTCGCCATTGTGCAAAATATGTGTCTGATAGACCTCAGGTATATTACATTTTAGTAAACAGAATTTTTTTCTAAGTTTTTTTTTTTGTGGCATGTAATCTAATTAATCTAGAAATTGAGATAGGAAGCAGTCTTCTGAGTGTTTGAAGTATATTGACTTAGTTGATCTTTTTCGTAATTTTTCTGGAATTGATTGATATGGTACTAACCTCAGACAGTTTCTCAGCTCAGGAAATTGAGGCATAATGGAGGTTAAAACTTAGCCTATAGTGGTAGGACTGTCTAACAAAAGGACCCAGGGGTCTGAACCTGGGCATGTGTGTTTAGCCATTGCTCTGCACTGATGCATGTCTGCTGGCATACAGCAGTACCAGGGCAGATGCCTGACTCTGAGTGAGTTTGGGCTTCAGATGTGCAGGTGAGAAAGGTTGAAGTGGTAATCCATATCTGAATCTGTATTTTGTACTGTAATGAGAATCAATATATTATAAATTTGATAATAAGGTTTTTATAACATATTGCTAAGAAGAGACTATTCTTAGGAAAAGGACATCATGCTTGAAAAGATGGAGGGTCACACTAACTCATTTGAACTCCACTCTTCCCAGTGTGGGTAATGTGACTTCTTGATGTCATCATCATTTGAAATTATAACAGATCCTGACTTAAACTGGCAAATAATTCAAAAAGGTCCATGGATGGTTCTGGCAGTTTACACTTGGTAGCAAACTCAAAGATGGCAGTTGAGACTTTGCCAGTGCCTCTGCACTCCTTCCGCAGAGATGACAGCAGAAGCCCATGTGTTGTAGTTCTACTCTTACCACACGGGGTCCTCCTGTATTAGAGCTACAGAATGAGTTGGTTTGTTTTTGATACTGCAGGTCGGTGTCAGGTTGGAAGCTAAAAAGCCAGCTTTTGGATTCTAGTCTAGTGTTCTGAATTCTTATAAAAATAAGAATTTCTACCTTCTTATAAGTTATTTATGCAACTGCTCACTTATAACTTGAAAAGCATTTAAACACTTATGGAGAAATGATATGCTGAGTTGAAAGACATTAATGTGTTTTGTTTTAATAACCTGACTCTTTTTTTTTAAGACCTTCAAGGAATACACAAGTGATGACATGAATGTAGCACCTGAAGACAGGGTGTGGGTGAGAGGATGGTTCCCAATTCTCTTTGAGTTATCCTGTATCATCAATAGATGCAAATTAGATGTAAGAACCAGGTAACAGTCCGTATTTGTAATTAAATTCTGAAGGGTTCCTTATGACTTTAATCAAATTAACTTTCTCATGTCAACTTAAGTTTAGCAGTTAAGGGTCATAAATCTCATATATTATCACTTGTATATAGTAGCACTTTTAACAGATAGATATATTTTACTGTGCTAAAGTAACAAATGGAAATATATTACTTTTCCTTAAAATTACATTATAGCCTATTTTGAATTTTAGTTCTGTCTTTTTATACATTTGTTTTCTGTTAGAAAATAGAGTTAGTGGCAAAATTGGTTTTATTTCCAGATGAATGATGGGAAGAATTTTACATTATACAACCTTAGTGGAGTTATTAAGTTTCTCTTTTTTTTTTTTTTATTTATTTTTAATTTTTTGTGCATGTACCGTCAGATCAGATCTGACTGGTATAGGAGGAGATTGTCCCTCCTTCTTCAGCAGAGCCTCTGGTGGATTTGAACCATGCACCTCTGGGATTGCAGTGCAGCTTCTTGCCACCAGGCCACCAGAGCACCCTAAGTTTCTCTTTTAAATCTGGACAGTAAAATAATCTTGGATAATATAATTTTATTAAAAAATAATTAAACTCTCAAAATGAATATAATAATGAGATCTATGTAAGCATAGTCAGTTTTGAAGACACTGTTAATGACATAATGTAACCAACCATGCAAGTGCTTAGTACATACTTTTTTATGTCATAGTTTGTAGTCATCTGATATTTTAATATTTCTTAGCTTGTGTTACTGACTGCTATATAGAAATATGTAATCTCTGTTATCCTGATACATTAATAAGTATTTAAGCCCACAGTAGGTTCAATTTTATGTTAATTTTGTTTGTTTTACTAGCAGAAGATAGTCTTCCAAAGCAACATTAAACAAAATCTGTAAGGACAGGTGAAAATACTGCCTTGGCTTAAAAAGAAACATTTTTCTTTTGAAAATGTTACAATATTTGATTTCTGTACAGGCTTATAACAAATCTAATTAATAAAATTTAGAGAATTACTATTTTTTCCATTATTTTCTCTTTACACTCACCCCCGACTAAGGTTAAACTTGATCTTATATCCTAAGAAACTCTCATTTATAGTACTTTTTCATTTATAGTACTTTTTTATAACAGAAAATATAAGTAATCCAGAATAAGAATCAAACCTCAGGTCTTTTTCATAAAATTTAACAATATAAAGACATGACAGAACATTTCATTTTACTTTTAGGCATAGTGAATTGTTTATCTATGAACTTGTTACAATTTCAGGTTTTTTAAAAATTTATGTTAAATTGTTTATCTTTCCAACTTTCAAATATCCTGCTCATGTTTTCTTAAGAATCTTGAGTTAGATAGTCTAGACCATGATACATATGCAGATATGGGATTAAGTCTGTGCAGAGTAGCAAATGAAATAAACCAAGCACCAATAGTAAAATGGGGTGCTCTCATGGCTGGATAGTAAAGACTTGGGCTGCCAACCCAAAGCAAGCAGTTCAAATCCCCTGGCTATTCTCGGGGAGGAGTTGGGGGAGAAAGTTGGGCAGTTTCCTCCCATGCAATTTGTTGCTTCTGAAAATGTGGTGGAGGATCAGCTATGAGTCTTCTAATCTGACAACATATACCACCACCAACAACCAGTATTAATGAAGAAATATGTTTGGCTTACCAAGATGTGGGAGTGTGATACATTTGTAAACTGAAGAATGTAGCTAAAATTTGATTAAAGGAAACAGCATATAGCAATTAGATAAAGCTATGTAACATGGACAAAGTCAGGAAAACAATTTCACATTTGAATTTAATAGGAAAATAATTTCACATTTCAGTTTTAATAGTTATTCAAAAGATAGTGGTCTTTTCACTTTGCCAATTGGACTCATGTCTTGATTGGTCATGCAGGTGGGGCTAGGGGAAACATCTTTTTGTAAAAAAAAATTCTTTATTTTTCATTTCAATGAACATCTACAGAGATTTTGGAATTCCATTCATTCATTGTTGCACCCCTCCCCCCCCCAACCCCCGGAAACATCCTTTTAAAACTCAGGCCTGCTGGATGTTTGTCTTGTATCTTGTCAGAGGAAACAGGTTGGCAGGGCTGGGAAAGATAGGGGTCCAACAACATTTAATCCTTGCAGCAAGTACTCATTAGTACCCCCTTGGCAGTGGGCTCTGGTGTGATGGTTTGTATATAGCACTGAACCAAACAGATCCTCACCATCATATAGTATATTTTGCATATATTTTATAGTATTCATTATAAATCCTTTTGCTGACCAGTGCATATGATCAAAGTTAATGGTTATTAGTTAAATATCTCTCCAACTTTTTGCAGTTCTATTCTTTAATGTTTTATCGTGGTTTCAGTGAAATTACACAGCCACTTTAGTTTACCGTTCATCATCTGTACACATTTTGTTTCATGGCATTAGGTGTAAATCCCCTCAGTGCAACGGCATTCTTCCCACTTCTCTCTGGGGTCCTCATTTCCATTTGCCCTTTCCTCTTGAACTTTGTTTTTTTAAAAATACTGCCATTTAGTCTCATCTTGTTGTTTGTTCATAGTAATCCTGGAATGGATTTAGTTCCAGGTTAGAAAGGTGTCTAAGAATCATGATGCTAAAGGTTCTACCAATCAGTCTATTGTCAGACCAGCACATCTGGACTTTTAAATTACTTTGGAATTTTGAATTCTGCATTTTCTGCTGCTCTGCACAGGACTTTCTCTTGTGATTCTGATTAAAGTGCTCAGTGGTGGCCGATTATCTTCTGGTTCATCAGGTCCCAGGGTGAGAGATGTGTAGTTCTCATGTTCCCTTAGTCTTTTGGATTCACTGTTTGCAGGAGTCATTGGTTTCCATCATGCTTTACTGCTTCACTTAGTGGAGAAACCTATAGTTGTGTCTTGGGTGGCCATCATCATGCTTTTTAAGACCTCAGTCACTACTTACTAAAATTTTTGCTGTTGTTATTTACTGTAAAGTTGGAACCAACTAATAGCAGGTTTTCAGAGGCAGTAAGTTGCCCAGGGGGAGATTGCTTGTCTTTCTTCTGAAGAGCAGTTGGTGGACTTGAACAGCATACCTTTGGTTTGGCAGCACAATTCCTTGCCACTAAGTCACCAGATTTCCTTACTTACCAAAGTAGTATGTAAGAAAATGTCTTTTATGAACTATGACCTTGATGTTCCCTAAGGCTCTGGTCTTAAGCACAGTGACTCAATCCCTCATTCTTTGTTACATTTCAATATCAAAAAGACAAAAATCCCAACTACTGAGAAGCAGCATGTTAGATGGAGAAAAGCATGAAATTGCCACTATTTCATGTAACTTGGATCCATGATCAGCACCCTTGGTACCAGCATTCAGGAAGTGAGGACACATACTGTGTCAGCAAAGTCTGCAGCCTGGGCCTTTCCAAATTACTGAGGAGCAATGATATCAATTTGGAGATTGAGGTGTGCCTGATTCAGCCATGGTCTTTTCGATCACTTGCTATGCATCTTTGAGTTGGACAGTGAATAAGGATAACAGAAGAATTGAAGTCTTTGAGCTGTGGTGTTGGAGAAGAGTACATAATATCCCATGAACTGCCAAAAGAAAACAAAGATAGAATGCTCGTCGGAGGCAAACATGACAAAGCTTTATCTGACATACTTCAGGCATGTTGCTAAGAGAGGCTGTTCTTGGAAAGGAGCATCATGCTTGGAATTGGAGAGTCACAAAAAGAGAGGAAGATCCTCACCCAGATGGATTGACACAGTAACTGCAGCAATGTTCTCAAGTGTGTCAGAGATGCAGAAGATGGCAAGGATAAGATAGAGTTCAGATCTGTTGGGCATACAGTTGCTGTGAGTCATACTTGATGGCACCTAATAACAAAAGCAATTGTATTTACAGCTCGTTCAAATATGTATATAGATATATTCTTTTTTCAAATACATGTACATGCATACGTATTCATAGGTATATTCCCACCTAACATACTGTACCTATTCATCTTGCATGCCATACATCCTTTTATAAATGTAGCATCAAGTCAGAACCAACTCATAGCTGACCCTCCAACAAGTTTTCAGAGTCTGTAAATTGCTTGGGAAGGTAGATCCAAACCTCAGACCTTTGGGATGACAGCACAGCTCCTTACCACTAGGGTATTAGAGCTCCCTTAGTACTGGTGGTTGATATAATTTATAAATTACTGCTTTTGTTACTGTTATTGCAGAAGTGTGTATAAAGTAGTATTTACTGTTGTTGTTTTTACTTGTTATCTTTCTAATTTAAGGAAGTCTTTTATTTCTTGATAAAGCCTTGACTTATCTGTACAAAAATTCTTTAACTACAACACTTATTCTCTCCTTTTGTTTTGACATTATCTGTAGTTTTATGTTTCTGGCTACCAGTTTTCAGTCTTTTAGCTTTGTTTTGTTTTGGAGAACTATTTATTTGAGATGATACCTGGCTGAGGCTGTCCTGTGACGGAATCACAGATGGTTGTCTGATGCTCTTTATTTCTTTTAAAATTTCTTAGAAGGTTGGTTTAATTTTACAAAATCTTTTATATTTCTGTGTATTTGGAAATGGCTTCATTTCACCATCATATTTGAGAGATGACTTAATGGATATGTAAATCTGAGTTTGAGGGGACTTTGTCATTTCCATTCGAGGTTTTACTGTGTCTTTTCACTGTTTGTACTGGTTCGCTTTGGTTCACTTGGCATTTTGGTTCACATCCGTTATTTCACTTTGCTAGTTGGGAGAACAACCACTTGGCCAACTGACTGGAAGAGATCTATATTTGTTCCCATTCCAAAGAAGGGTGACCCAACTGAGTGTGGAAACTACAGAACAATAGCATTGATTTCACATGAAAGCAAGATTCTACTGAAGATTATCCAGAAACAACTGGAACAGTACATGAGCAGAGAACTGCCAGAAGTCCAGGCTGGGTTTAGAAGGGGTTGTGGTACTAGGGATATTGTAGCCGATATTAGATGGATCTTAGCTGAAAGCAGAGAATACCAGAGGAATGTCTATCTGTGTTTCATTGATTATGCAAAGGCATTTGACTGCGTTGGATCATAACAAACTGTGGCTGACTCTGAGAAGAATGGGAATCCCAGAACATTTAATCGTGCTAATGCAAAATCTTATACTTGGACCAAGAGGCAGTCGTCAGAACAGAGCAGGGCAACACTGCATGGTTCAAAATTGGAAAGGGTGTGCTCCAAGGATGTGTCCTATCTCCATACCTTTTCAACCTGTATGCAGAGCAGATTATCCAAGAGGCTGGGCTCTATGAGGAGAGGCGTGGCGTCAGGATTGGTGGAAGATCTATCAGCAATCTGCGTTATGCAGATGACACAACCTTGCTCACTGAAACTGAGGAGGACCTCATGCACTTACTGCAGAGGGTCAAGGACTGCAGCCTTCAGTATGGACTGGGGCTCAATGTCAAGAAGACAAAGATTTTCACCACTGGACCAATTGGTAGCATCAGGATGGATGGCGAAGAGATTGAGATTGTTCACAGCTTCAGTTTGCTTGGCTCCATGGTCAACACTCTTGGCACCAGCAGCCAGGAAATCAAAAAACGTATTACGATAGGAAAGTCTGCTGTTAGGGACCTCTCTAAAGTACTCAAGAGCAACGGTGTCTCTTCGGAGACGAAGCTGCGCCTGAGACAGGCCATGGTCTTTGCAATCACTTGTTATGCATCAGAGAGTTGGACAATGACTAGGGAGGACAGAAGGAGAATTGACGCCTTTGAGCTGTGGTGCTGGAGAAGAGTATTGAATGTACCATGGACTGCCAAGAAAACAAACAGATTCATCCCAGAGAGGATTAAACCAGGCTACTCCTTGGAGGCAAAGATTCTGGGGCTTTGTCTGACATACTTTGGACCTGTTGCAAGGAGAGACAGGTCTTTGGAGAGGGACATCATGCTGGGTAGAGTAGAGGGACAGTGCAGGAGGGGAAGACCCTTTGTGAGGTGGATTGATTCAGTGACTGGGGTAATCGGGATGGGTGTGTCAGAGGCAATGCGATTGGCACAGGATAGAGCATGGTTTAGGGCTGTTGTGTATAGGGTCGCTATGAGTCGTAAACGACTCGACGGCACATAACAACAACAACAACAGTTGGGCAGAACTTAGTCTTACTGGCTTCCCTTTGTGGATGACCTTTCTCTTCTGTTCCTTAAGCTGCTCTTGGGATTTTTTTCTTAGTATTTGGGTTTGGCTAGTTTAATTATGATAGGTTTTTATGTTTTTTATTATTATTATTGATTGCTTATAATCATTCATATGCATTGTATTTTGTACAATAAATTACAATTGGTCAATGCCTGTTATCCTCCTCTTGCCTATTCCTTCACCCCTGCCTCTTTCACCCACTAACCTGGTCTCCTGCCCTCTTCTATCTGCCCCCTTTTGAACATTTGTGCATATCTAGTTCACTTACCCTCCTGGTTTCCCTACAGTGATCTTATGCAGTGATTTTCTTTTGAGGTCTATTCTGTATGGGCTTGTTGAGTTTCTTGTGCAGGTGTCTTCTTACTGTTGATGAAAAAGAAAATTTCTTAATATAGGAAATTTTCTGCCAGCAAATCTTCGACAATTCTGTGGGATGTTGTTACAGGGTAGTTGTGTGACACGCGCTTTATTTTATTTTTGTGCTTTGTTTGCCTCCTATTCCGGAATTCTGATCACATGTAAATTTTTCCTCTTGATAACACCCCACATTATTCTTAGATGTTCTTTCTCTTAAGAATTTTTTTCTCAAATGAATGTCAGTTGATCTTTTTTAGAAAACTTTATTTTATTTTGTGTGTACTGCCAAATCAGATCTGACTGGTACAGAAGGAGAATGGCCCTCCTTCTCCAGCAGAGCATCTGGTGGATTTGAACCGCGCTCTGGGATTACAGTGCAGCTTCTTACCACTAGGCCACCAGAGCTCCCTTACATCAGTTGATTTTTTTTTTTTAACTTTCACTAATTCTCATTATTAATTCAGTTCTGCTCATATGTCATTCTGTTGAATTGTCTGTTTCTAAAATTTTATTATTAATCTTTTGGATTTCTAGTTCTGTTTTTGTGTAGTTTCTAACTCCATATATTTTTGTCTTTGTGGTACTGTATTTTTTTTTTAATGAGTTCTTCCATTGTTTTCTCTTGGTTTTGTCTGAATTTTCCTTAATTTCTTGTAGAATTTATATATTACTAGCTTTTTGGATTCCTTATTATTACTATTTCTTTCTCTGGTGGATTTTCTGGTTCTTTGTTTACTTGTTGGAGCTATCTTATAAACAGTTCTGCTGCTTCATGTTATTTTTCTTTTATTTATCTGTTATTACCTGCTCCTCCTTGTCCTTCACTCCCACCCCTCCATCAATTTGATTCCTACTCAGTAGCAGCCTTCTGGGACAGAGCAGAAGTGACCATAGAGTTTCCATAAATCTTTATGGGAACAGGTTGTGTCACTTTCATCCTGTGGACTAGCTTGTGGGTTTCAACTACTGTCCTATTGGCTGGAAACTGAGTGCATTAACCAGCACCCCAGAAGTACTCTTTATCTTACTTACTGCATCCTGAGCTTTTCCTTGTGTATTATATCAAAGTAATAAGGCATGCCTACCACCTTGATTGCTAGTCAGGTTCTACTCAAGCTCTTTGCTGTCTCTTGGTGGCTGAGACAGTGACTGGGTGTGTGTGTGCATGAGTCTCTCTTCAACAGTCTTGCAGCATAGATGTGGCTGCCATTGTTCGTCTCTGTGTGGCTTATCTCCTGGGGCTTGGGTGCAGGGAGACTTTTCTGCTTGCTGGGTAGAATGTTGTGTGTTCAGTGGTGGGTGCCTGTGCCCGTGGTCAATAATGAGTGATATAAATCTGTCACCAGTCAGCAAGACTCTTAGTGGTCATCAGACCAGACACAAGCCTCTCATTTCAGGGAGATAACAATGTGATAATGAGGAAGGGGAATGGCTCAAGTCCACAGGTGTGCCCATTCAAAGGGTGTGCCCTGTCCACTAGAAGCAGCATGGGGAAGTGTATGTTGGCAACCTTCAGGTCTCTGGTTCAGGTGTCTACAGGTAGTAGTAGGCACCCCTAGTCTATGGATCCCTGCACACAGTGTAGGCCTGGGAGATGGCACCTATAGTTTGTACAGGCCACCAGTGTGGGAAGCTGATTGTAGGCCTTGGTGCAGTTAGAAGGGTAGAAGGAGTGCCCTTAGGACCCCAGCACCAGTGGCCAGGCAGAGATAGGTAGACTGTGAGCCCAGCTCCAGGGATTGTCTTTAGGTACTGATAGCACCAAACAACAAGTTCCTGGTAAAGGTATATGTGCCCCAGGGAAGCAAACAGATACTCCCAGATTATAGCCCCCAGATGTTGTAGGTGGCATGGTCCAGAGAGCTGTGTTTTTAACACAAAGGCTCTGATTCCCTGGCTTTTTGAATCTACCAGCTCCTTGGGAGAAAGCTGAACAGTCTTTTCCCATAAGATTTACAACCTTGGAAACCCAGGGGAGGGAGGGTCAGCTGTGAATCAAGACTGACTTGACAGCGGTGAGTGAGTGAGTAAGTAAATGATGCTCGATTGTTGGAAGAGGAGGTACCACTGTCACAAGCCGCTAGGACAGGAGGTGAGACGGAGAAGTGAGTGCCATCATGTTTTGGATCTTAGCAGTAGTGGCTGCTCAAGGAGGCTTGCCTTGCTAGTCAGTGGGTCCCCAGTGGAAGGGACTGAATAAACAGGCAGTTGCCTGTCCTTGGACTCTGGTAGGCCATGATCACATGGGAAGAGTAATGAGGAAGACAGATGCTATATAGCCCCACAAGCCTGTGGCTCACTTTTGGGATAGCCAAGGTGATCTCACTTAACTTTTGCAGGCTTAGGGCACTCCCACCTGGCTCTGGACGAGTGCAGAGTCCTCCTCGCTTGTCTGCATCAGGTAAGGAGATCTTGGCTGGGAGCCATGCTTGCTTTGTCTTTCAGTGGCTGTTCTGTGCACCTTCATCAGGGGCCTTCGTTAGTTCTTTATGTCCAGTCTCTTCTCTGACGTGGTACTTGCTCTGATTCTTAGGATTGCCTTATTTCCTTGGCGTCTTATCGTATGAGAGATGTTTTTGAGGCATCTAACTATGCTGCCATCTTGGATCTTCTTCACTGTCCAGCTTTTTGAAAGATAGCTTGAAAAAAATCTACTTTTTGTTGTTTCTTTGATGCTTTCATGGAGTGAAGTGTGAGAATGATAGTATTGGGGATATGCTTGCTTTATTGGACAGAGTACCAAATAATAAATATTCATGCAGGTGATGATTCTTCTTACTCTGTAGTTCATTTTTTAATTCTAAATGTTAAGATGGTGGTATGAAAGTGAGGGAAAGATAAACTAAAAAGAAAAAGAAATAAGGTCAAGGTCTTTCAAAGTTTTTCCTAAATGATAAGTTCTAAACAATTCAGTTGTCTTACAACTTAAATATTTTAAAACTCAGTATCATGTGTCACTCTAAATGTGGTTTATAAGCTCAATATTTTTAGTAACTTTGAGATCTACTAAAATTTATTTTAGAAGATGGAGTTCTGATTGTGTAGACATTGTGTGTTAAAGCTCTCCTAATTATGTTCTGTCATTTCAGGGGCTTAACTGTAATGTTTGAAATAATGAAAACATATGGCCATACTTATGAAAAACATTGGTGGCAGGATTTATTCCGAATTGTTTTCAGAATCTTTGACAACATGAAGTTGCCAGAACAGCAGACAGAGGTAAAAGAACACAAAATTCTCATTAGCATAGTCAACTTAAAAGGCTTTTATATAATCCCTAATTCATATTAGTATTTCAAATTATACACATTGAGAAGAAATTCCTCGAAAATTTTTCTTTAAGGCATAAGGATATAATACTATCGTTTATAAACAAAAACACAATTTTGGAGTAGGACTGAGTTAATAAATTTGTTTTTCCTCTCTAATGTTTTTGTTAAACTTCTGGCTTTTTTTCTCATTTTAATCTTCTTCACAGAGCCAACAAAACCTCCATAGCTTAGTGTATAAAGTATAAACTTTTACATTAAGTATTTGAGAAACATCTTATACCTTTATTTTAGACTTTTTAATCTTCGATAGTACTGTCAAGTAATCATAATTCTGAAAGTTAATTCTTGTGCTGATCTCACAAGGATAAATTCTTTTTATTTCTCTTTAATGTCTGTCATATTCTGGAACAAAGCCAACTATTGTTTTCATGAATATTGTTTGAAAAGTCATAATAAATGTTACAGTAATAATTCTTTTTCTAACCAAGGCAATTAACTTAGAAAACAGTTAAATAATTTTATATGTAGGTAGTTAAAGGTATTCCCAGTTAATGAAAAATAGAAGTCAGATGTTAAGATGAATATAATGTTTTAGAAAAAAATAAAAAACACTGGTAAGAAGAAAACTGACAGGCTTGCCTTTTAAATATGAAAACATAAAAAAAAAATAAAAGTAAATAAATATGAAAACATTTCACTCCTAAATTCTAGCTGTTAATGAATGGTCTGACCTTGATTTAACCTCATCCCCACCAGAAAGCAGAGTGGATGACAACGACTTGCAACCATGCACTTTACGCAATCTGTGATGTGTTCACCCAGTATTTAGAAGTGCTCAGTGATGTGCTTCTGGATGATATTTTTGCACAACTGTACTGGTGTGTGCAGCAAGGTAGGTGTGTGTCTGATGTGTTAGAAATTGTCCTCTGTGACCATGCTATTATATAAACAAATTGCTTTTTCTTTTCTAGATAATGAGCAATTAGCACGATCTGGTACCAACTGCTTAGAGAATGTTGTTATTCTGAATGGTGAAAAATTTACCCTAGAAATCTGGGATAAAACCTGTAACTGCACATTGGATATCTTCAAAACCACAATCCCACATGCGTAAGATTTTATAGAACTTTCTGTTTACTCACACAAACGTATATTATAGTTAAGTTTGATAGCTTCTTATCAATTCTCATAACAGAAACTCCTTTGAAACATATCCTAGTGCTATCTGTTTTTAATTGTTTTTGGTGAAACATTCTTCTAGGTCATATAGCTCTGGTGTGTCCACTTGCTGTACAGAGGTAACTTGTGGTTGCTGTGAAGCCGAACACTGTGACACTTGATGTGTCAAATGCGAGAGTGGTTACCTATGGTGGATAGTGTTTGGTGGAGCTCCCCAATGAAAACAAGTTTGGAAGCAGGAGTGGCATCCACTTCTGAAATAGCTTGTCTCGGGAAACCCTATGAACCAAGAGGAAGGATGAAAGTTACACAGGCGTTCAAGTTTTTAATTTATAGTGTTGCTATGAGTCGCCTACGACTCAGCAGCACTTAACAACATAACAGCAACATATGTATTTCTACCAGTAGCTCTGCGAGAGAAGGACAAACAGTCTCTTTATGTGTGATTTACTGTCTCTGAAAACCCTCTAGAGGGTCAGCTATGAATCATTTCCAACTCAATGTACACAGCAACCACAACAACATATGTATTTAGATCTATTACAAATAAGATACCTATAAACTATAGTAAATATATGAAATAATTCTATAAAATAAAATCACTTTTTTCTAATTATCCATTATGTTGTGAGCCCACTAACTTTTTAAAGATTTGATTTTATTAGAAACCTCAGTGCTTTTTATTTGGAAAAAGGACAGTAACCTCAGGTGTAAGTTTCAGTTGCTACAGATTTAATAACTGAATTAAAATTATTTATTTGCAAATATTTACAAAGATTCTATAATGGTTGTAATTTTTCTAAAGAATGGGTTTGGGACTTGAAGTGAAGTTACTTTTATCAGTGAGGAAACAAGAGATACAGTCAGCCTGAATGATGGTGACAGGGTCTAGATTCTTGTAGGACAAACTTGAACTTACTTCCCAACTCAACTCTGTGGTCTACATGTAATGCAATTTCTAAAACGTTATTAGATTCAGTAGCCACATGTATATACACTGGCACAAATTTTACATTATGTGAACACTACCAATTAATAAAAATTTTTGAGCTTAAAGAACTTTTCTTGAAATTGACTATTGTGGCTGCACTTGGAACTCTGGTGGCATTGTTCATAGTGAGTTGTGCTGATAACCTAAAGATGTCAGTTCAGATCCACCAGGAGCTCTGTGGAAGAAAGATGGGCAGTCTCCTGACATTATGATTTACAGCCCTGGAAACCTGGTAGAGGGTCGCTGTGAGTCAGAACTGACTTGAAGACAGTAACTCTGCATTAAAGCATTCATATAATTCTTATAATTCCTCTGTAAGGAAGAGTAAATAGGAAGTAAGGAAAGTACAGACCTTTGACATTTTACTCACTTCTAAATACTAGGGAATCTTACTTGTTTTTGACACGTTTTCCTTTGGAACAATGTAATAAATTCACAAATGACGCTAAGATTTGTGTCAGAGTTATTAAATCTTTACAAAAACTGGTTGGGCTGTATTTTTTATGTAAAAACAGGTTCTTTTTCAAATTATTGAGTTAAACACACAAGAGAAAATAAAAGACTTTATATATCATCTAATAAGTGTCTCAATAGAAGCTTGTTCAGCAGAACACTTGACATTGAACTGAAGTGATCTGCTGCCCCATTCCCTAGTGGCTTCTTGTTCCTCAGAACCAAGAACTTAGGCCCTAGTCATCTCTGTATTCTCAGCACTCTCTCTAGGGTTAGAAAATTAGCTGCTACTTTTCTATACCAAAATTTTCTAATTTTCACACATTTTATTTTAAAATAGAATCTCAGTAGTTCTATGAATTTTTGAAATTTTTCTTAAATATCACATTGGAATGTGTTTGATGGCATTTGTACTTGGGAAAATTGTAAAATTGAAACCTTTCAGAGAATTTCAGAGAATTTTTTTTCTGTTTCACATCGTAAAAGCTGATAGATGGAAAGTTGGTAGAGGGAGCTCTGTTGGCTAAGCGGTAAGGAGTTGCACTGCCAACCCAAATGTACCTGGTTTGAATCCATCAGCTATTGGCTCTGAAAACCTGCTAGAGGGTCAGCTATGAGTATGTTCTGACTCCATGGTGCATAAAATACACAACACACATTGATGGTAACCTTTGACATGTCCCACTTGCAGTAATTGGTGTGATTTTGGTATTTTTAAAGGCTCTTGACGTGGCGTCCCACATCTGGAGAAACGGCTCCCCCATCTCCATCACCTGTGAGTGAAAAACAGTTGGTAAGTTTTAAGAAATCATATTTTAAACTATTCTGTTACTTGTGGTAAACAATTTTGCTACGGGCTGAATTCTTATATATGAGCCCAGCTCTTCTGCAATTAGAAAAAAAAAAGTTACCCATTTGATATCTGATAGTCTCAAGTTAAAATCCTTTGTAGTTAAGTTTCAAGGTCAAAGAAAATTAACTCTACATGCTTTGGGGAACTCTTTTAAATTTTCTTTTAATATAAATGGTCTGAGACATAGAAGACAATGATTTTAAGAGTTGTAACAGGCAGACAATATTTTGTTTGAAATGCTAACAACAAGAAAAAGACAACTCCTTTACAAAATGAGTTGTTAAGTGCTGTTGAATCACGTATAACTCTAATCAAGTATGACTTGTAACAACTCTGTGAACAACATATCCGAACCTTGCCCTACTCTGTCCTATCCTTACTGTCTCTGATGTTCTTGAGCCCTTTGTTACAGTCATTGTATCAATCCATCTTCCTAAGGATCTTTCCCTCTTTTGCTGACTCTCCATCTTCCCAAGCATAATATCCTTTTCCAAGAAGTGGACCGAAAGTATGTAAGCAGCTTTGCCGTCCTCACCTCCAGGGTGCTACTTTGGTTGCTCTTTGTCTGAGACATATCTGTTTGTTCTTTGGCAGCCCATGGGATAGTCAGTCCTCTTCTCCAATACCACCATTCAAAGGATCAGTCCTTCCCGCATCCTTATTCATTGTCTAACTTTTAGTTGCATAGTAAGTAATTGAAAAGACCATGGCTTACATCAGGTTGTGCCTTAATCTTTAAACTAGCATCATTACTCCTTAGAACTTTGGAGAGAGCCTTGACAGCAGTCCCTCCCAATGCAGCTCATCTTCTGATCTCTTGATCCTGGTACAATTAAAGGGTGTTGTTTTGGGATCAAGGCAAGATAAGATTGTTAGCAGCCTCAGTCTTTTCTCCATCTATCTTGATGTTGCTCATTGGCCCAGTGGAGAGGAGTTTTGTCTTCTTGATGTTGAAATGTAATGCATATTGAAGGCTTTGATCTTCTGCAGCAGGTGCTTCAAGTCCTTTTCACTTTCAGCAAATAATGTTTTGTCATCTGCATAAAACAAGTTGTTGACGAGTTTTCCTCCAGTACTGATAACACATTCCTCTTCATAAAGTTCAGCTTCTTAGATGATTTTCTTAGCAAGGGATTGAACAGGTATGGGAAAGGGAAACAACTTGACACATACCTTTCTTGTTTTTAAACCATATAGTGTTCCCTTGCTTGAACAACTATCTCTTGATCTAGATAAAGGTTTTGCATAGTTAAATGTTCTGGCATTTCCATTGTTCTCAGTATTAGCCATATTTAGTTATGATCCACAAGGAATCACTGGTGAAGCTCGGTATCAGCAATCAGAACTTGGAAGATGCTGATGTGGAAAATTCAGATTGAAGCTGAAGAAAATGAAGACACATCCACCAGAACCAAAGTATACACTTGAGTCTTTCTCTTGAATTTAAGAATCATGTTTGCTATCACTTGTTATGCATCAGAGAGTTGGACAATGACCAAGGAGGATAGAAGGAGAATTGATGCCTTTGAGCTGTGGTGCTGGAGAAGAGTATTGAGGGTCGCTCTGAGTCACAAGTGACTCGATGGCACATGACATCAAAATTAGGCTTGGGTCACTGAACACTTGTTGTTGTTATGTGCCGTCGAGTCGCTTGCAACTCATAGCGACTCTATGTACAATAGCCCTAAACTCCGCTCTGTCCTGTGCCAATTGCACTGTCCTCGACACTCCCATCCCAATTATCCCAGTCACTGAATAAATCCACCTCATAGAGAGCCTTCCTCTCCTGCGCTCTACCCTTCCTCTCCTCCTCCACCCTTCCAAGCATGATGTCTCTCTCTAAGGACCGGTCTCTCCTCACAACATGTCCAAAGTATGTTAGACGGAGCCTCAGAATCCTTGCCTCCAAGGAGCCACCCGGTTTAACCCTTTCCAGGACAAATCTGTTTTCCTAGCAGTCCATGGTATTCTCAATACTCTTCTCCAGCACCACAGCTCAAAGGCATCAATTCTCCTTCTATCCTCCTTGGTCATTGTCCAACTCTCTGATGCATAACAGGTGATTGCGAAGACCATGGCCTGTATCAGACGCACCTTAGTCTCCAGAGAGACACCATTGCTCTTCAGTACTTTGGAGAGGTCCCTAACAGCAGACTTTTCCATGGCAATGCTCCTTTTAATTTCCTGGGACTGTTGACTATGGAGCCAAGCAAACTAAAGCTGTGTACAATCTTCAATCTCTTCACCATCCATCCTGATGCTGCCAGTTGATCCAGTGGTGAGAATCTTTGTCTTCTTGACATTGAGCCTCAATCCATATTGTAGGCTGCAGTCCTTGACACTCTGGAGCAGGCGCTTCAGGTCCTCTTCAGTTTCAGCAAGCAGGGTTGTGTCATCAGCATAACGCAGATTGTTGATAAATCGTCCACCAATCTTGACCCCACATTTCTCCTCATAGAGCCCAGCCTCCCGGATAATCTGTTCTGCATATAGGTTGAAAAGGTGTGGAAATAGGATGCATCCCTGGCGTACGCCCTTCCCAATTTTGAACCATGCAGTGTTCCCTTGCTCTGTTCTGACGACTGCCTCCTGGTCCAAGTATAAGTTTCGCATTAGAACGATCAAGTGTTCTGGAATTCCCATTCTTCTCAGAGTCAGCCATAGTTTGTTATGATCTACACAGTCAAATGCCTTTGCATAGTCAATGAAACACAGACATTCCTCACTGAACACTAGTAATAGAAAATCAGATGAATTGTGGGATAACGTCAAGGATATCATCCATGAAGAAAACAAAAGGATATCACAAAGATAGAGTAGGAATAAAATATGAAAATAGATGTAGAGTAGACTGAAAATTTCACTAGAGTGTCAAGCCAAACAAAAGAACAAATGCTGAAGTGAAAGAATGAACAGAAGATTGCAAAGACAAAATGAGGAGAGGACATGAAAAGACACTTCATTCAAGAAGACATTGATATAACTAGCAAACACATGAAGATATGCTCAGATCATTCACTATTAGAGTCAAATAAGAAAAAACCAACAGTGTGCTATCATCCCAGCAACAGTAGCAAAGTTCAGTAAGAGAGTGAAGAACAAATTGTGGCCCGTATGGGAAGAGAATGAAACTCTCACACATTGCTGGTGAAAAGGTAAACCACTAAGGAATACCATTTGATGTCTCCTTAGAAAACTGAGAATATAAATACCGTTTGACCCTTCAGTCCAACCATTAGGTATATATCCTAAAGAATTAAGAGCTGCAGCACAAGCAAACATGTATATGCATGTTCACTGCAGCATTATTTACCATAGCAAAAAGATGGAAACAACCCGAAGTCCATCAGCAGACGAGTAGATGAAAAAACTGATATGTTCACACAGTAGAGGACTGTTGTTGTTGTTAGGTGCTGTCGTGTTGAATACAAACAGTACCAATCTTGTGAACAACAGAGCTGAACTCAGTCCTATCCAGTGCCATCCTCACACTTCTTGACACACTAGAGCCCATTACAGTAGTTACCGTGTCAGTCTACCTGGTTGAAGATCTTCCTCTCCTTCACTGTCTCTCCCTTCACTTTTCCAAATATCATATCCCTTTCCAGGGAATATCCCCTCCTAGCCCCATGCCCAAAGTGTGTGAGGCAAAGCCTTATCATCCTTGCCTCCAAAGAGCACTGTGGCTGTGCCATCTCCAAGACATTGTATTTGTTCTTTTGGCCACGCATAGGATGTTCAATGCTCTTCTCTAATACCACAGCTCAAAGGCATCAGTTCTTTTGTCTTTATTCATTATCCAGCTCTCAAATGCAAAGCAAGTTATTTCACCTTAGTCCTCAAACTGATATCATTACTTCTCAATAATTTGTAGAGGCCCCTAACTGCAGACTTTCCCAGTGCTATACATCTCCTGATTTCCTGACTGCTAGTCACAAGAATTTTAACAGTGGACCCAAGTAAGATGAAGTTGTCAACAGTTTCAGTCTTTTCTCCATCCATGTTGGTCCAGTGGTAAGCATCTTTTGTTTTCTTGACATTGAGATGCAATCCATATTGAAGGCTGTATTCTTTGATTTTGTGCAACAAGCGTTTTAAGGCCTCACTTTCAACAAGCAAGATTGTGTCATCTGCAAAATGGAATTTATTAATGAGTCTCCCTCTGATCCTGATGCCACATTCCTCTTCATTGAGTCCAGCTTCTCAAATAATTTGCTCTCACAAGAGAGACAAGGAAAAAGAGACTAAAAATCAAAACGTGACACTTAACCTGGTGGGGGAGATAACCTTGATCATGAAGGTGGTTTTTCAAGCTGAAGCTTATCCATTGTATTCAGCATGTGCTGGTCCCTGCAGTTTCCCCAACTGTGGCAATCTCAACTGCATAATTTGTGATGGTAAAGTAATGTGATCATGTTCTTCCCGGGATTAAAAGAAAAGGGGGAAAAAATTGAAGAGATAAGCAAAAGTATTCAAAGAGCAGAAGTGAAAATACTAATATCTGATAAAATAGACTTCAAGGCAAAAACCTGCATAAGAGACAGGAAATGACATTATACAGTATCTCCACACCCAGTGACAGACCTGCAAAATACACAAACTTTAACAAATTTGAAAAGAAATAGACAACTCTTTGATAACTTGTAGGAGATTTCCAACATACCACCTTTGAAGAATGTAATGAATAGAAACTGAACAAAGATACAGAAGAAGTAAAGAATATAATTGAAGCAATTGCATGTCATAGACATGTTTAGAACATCTTACCAACAAGATCACAATATACATCCATCTCCAGTGCTTATGGAACATTCTCCTCAATAGACTGTATGTTTGGTATGAGATGTCATTGCCAAATGTTTATTCCTAGTCAGGAGGTCTTCTTTTCACCCTGTTGGAAAAAGGTTTTGATGAGCACAGAGATTTAACCTTTAAAAGGCACCATTCATCAGTTTTATCTTCTTCAGATTGTGCATGTTGTTGTTAGGTGCTGTCGAGTTGTAGAGGACTCACAGCGACCCTGTGAATGAAAGCCCTGAACACTGTTCATAGGGTTTGCCGAGGCAAGTCATTTCAGAAGTGGATGCCACTCCTGCTTTCAGGCTTGTTTTAATCAAGAAGCTCCACCAAAACACTGTCCACCATGGGTAACCGTTATCACATTTGACACCTCAGTGTCAGTGTTCAGCATCACAGAAACCATGAGTTACCTCCATACAGCAATGCATAGACCAGTGCTATACTACCTAGAAGAATGTTTGACAGAAAAACAAGTTGAACCAGGCCAGAGGGCCGCGGATTAACATCACCCACCTTGAGCTTGGTAGCGTAACTTTCTGTCTACTAGGCTAGCGTAGCTATGTTGTCGTTTTGTTATTAGGTGCCATTGAGTCGTAGACGACTCATAGCGACCCTATGAATGGAAGACCTGAGCACCATTCATAGAGTTTCTGGAGGCAAGCCATTTTCGGAAGTGGCTGCCACTCCTGCTTCCAGGCAGATTATACATATCTGGCTTTATTTGTCGGTTTCTTTATACAACAGACTAGACCATCTAAGCTTGGTCCAGGTTTGTCTCATGCACTTTATGGTTGGGGCTTTATTCCCATGTCTCTGATCCACCTTGAGTTGGTTTTTGTCCGTGGTTTGTGCTGTGGATCCTCTTTCAGCTTTCTGCAGTTAACAGTCCAATTTTCTAGCACCATTTGTTGAAGAGATTGTCATTCTCCATTTGATAGGTTTTATTTCCTTGTCAAATATCAGTTGACCGTAGATAGATGGGTCTGAGTTCTCAATTCTCTTCCATTGGACTATGTGCCAGTCATTGTGCTAGTTTACTACTGTTGTGTAGTAGGTTTTGAGGCGAGGGAGTGCTGCTATTTTGGAGTTTCTTTCCTCTCCAAATAAACTTGACAGTTTCCTTTTCTATCTCCTTGAAAAATGAATTTGGTATCTGGATTAGAATTGCATTAACATGTAGATTGCTGGTAGGTCTTCCTATCTGTGAACACGGACAACATTTTTCTCATTTATTTAGGTCTTTTATTGTCTTTTATTCAGGTCTTTTATAATATAAAATGTTCTGTTATTTTCTTTTTAAATTTTATTACTTTGTGTGTGTGTACTGTCAAATAGGATCTGACTGGTACAGGAGAAGATTGCCCCTCCTTCTCCAGCAGAGCATCTGGTGCTGTTACTTTCTTTGTAACAGATCTTTTGTGTCTCTAGTTAGGTTCACTCCCGAATATCTCATTTTGTGGTTGGCTATTGTAAATGGTATTGGTTTCTTGGTTTCCTTCTCTGAGTTCTCTTTGTTACTGTTGAGGAATCCCACTGATTTTTGGATATTGATCTTGTATCTTGCCACTCTACTACATTGGTCTATTACAGGGTTTTTTTTGTTGAGTTCTTGGGGCTTTCTGTGTACACTATCATATTAACTGCATATAGCAACAACCATCTCTTACCTATTGGGATACCTTTTATTTCCTTCTCTTGTCATATTGCCCTAACAAGTACTTCCAATACAATATTGAATAGAAGTGGTGACAGTGGGAGTCCTTATCTGGTCCCTGTTTGCAAAGAAAATGCTTTTTAGTCTTTCTCCATTGAGAATGATAGTGGCTCTTGGTTTTGAGTATATACTATTCACTAAGTTGAGGAAATTCCTTTCTGTTCCAATTTTGCCGAGTATGATTATCAGGGAAGGGGTATTGAATTTTGTCAAATGCCTTTTCTGCATCAGTTGGTAGGATCGTGTGGTTATTGGCCACAAAGTCTCGATAATTAATTTTAAAGAAAACCCACAAACCTTGAAATATTATAAATCATCTTCTCAAATCCAGATATTATAAAATTAGAACTCAAAAGATCAAGGGGGAAAACAAATACAGGGAATTGCTTAAAAATTATAGGATAATAAGAAAAATTAAAATTCTAGTAATATTTTGTGTAAGAAAATGTATTTTTAAACAGTAAACATTCTTTTAAAAGATCTATCATTTTAGAAGTGTTATATGCAATCTTACATGTAAATATTTATTTTAATAGACATTTCATTTCATATCATGGTCAGATAAATTAACACCAATACCATGTTGGGCCCGTGTAATTTTTGCTAAAAGTGTTTTATACACTTAAGAAAAATGCAGAAATGAACAACTGTAATAATAATTACATGATTTTAGATTTGTGTAACATTTCATTATTTATAAAAATCATTCTCTTATTTGATTGTCCCAAGAGTTTTGTAAGCCAGGCTTGGTATATGTTACTCACATTTTTTGTGGACCAGGAAATACAAAATTATGAACTATGATATTTTAAGCTTAAATGGAAATCTTATTTTGCTGTTGCAACAATTGTTGTTGTGTGTCCTCTAATTGGAACCAACTCATAGCTGACCTCCAGTGAGTTTTCAGAGGCAGTAAATTATACCAGAGAAGATTGCCCATTCTTCTTCAGCAGAACTGTTGGTGGATTTGAACCAAAATCTTATTTTGAGCAGCACAGATTCTTGGGAGTACAGCCAGAATTACCTCAAGATGAGATTACTGTGGTTAGAAAGTCCGCTTCCTCCTGAAATCCATGTCTTCTGAGTACATTGTCCTGTTAACAGTAAAACAGTTAGGACAGTAGTAGTTTTGACTAGCACTTTCTGTCTGACTCTACGGTTACTTTGCATTTGTTCTATTTCTTCCTTACAAAGAATATGCCATCTTCACTTTCATGATCAGAAAACCCAAGCTCGAAATTCTTTTTCTAAGGTCACGCTGCCAGTAAGTTCTAAGCCAGCTTCTCGGTGGTGCCACACTGCTACCCAGTCAGCCCGTACCTATGGACTCAGCCATCTGGACCTTTGCAACAACTTTTCTTAGGTTATAGAAATCTTTATCTGAACTTGTTGCTGCATAGTTCCAGCCCTCCTAAAATTGGAGAAATCTGCTTCCTCTCTTCCAGATCTGTTTTCCAAAGATTTCCATGACTAGCACAGGGTTTTGGAACGAGTTTTGTCCTGAGCATTCTTACCTGTTGTTCTTGGTGATGTTAGGCTTGCACACAGTGACTCTCAGAAGCAAAGTTTCCTCCTGAAGCCTCTCAGCTCTCAATCCGTGCCTTTTGTTGTTTCTAAACCCGAAACCAGATGCACTGCCGCAGAGTCTGTGACTCATATTGACCGTCTTTTGCGTTTTTGAAGCTCTCAGATGAATTCCATTCCATGACTGCTTGAGCACCAGGCCCTGTACTTTAAATTTAAATTGAAGTACCAATAAATAGGAAGCTTAAAGAGCTTTCTCTGTTTGAATAAGGAGTAATTGGCAGGAAATATTTTCATCCTTAAACTTACGATGATTATTCTTTGTTTTTATTAGGATACAGTATCACAAAAATCTGTAGATATTCATGATTCTATTCAACCAAGATCTTCAGATAATAGACAGCAGGCACCATTGACTTCTGTCTCTGCTGTGAATGAAGAGGTCGGCAAAGTCAAGCCTACGGCAAGTGAGTCATTACTCTAAATAAAAATAAGTTCTAGTCTTTGTTTCAATTTAAGACAATTTTATTTCATCTGTTTCTAGTGCTGATATTTCCCCTGTACGTTGTATTCATATAGGAAAGGGATGAAATAACTTGGTTTGAGTTTTGTGCTTAGCATACATGTACTTGTTAGGATTGTTAGTCACTTTGTTGTATTTGCTGCATTTGGGATATCTGAAAGAGAAAGTTTTTCTTGGTCAGGTGAGAGATTGGGTGCTCTGCTAGTACCTGGAATGTCACCTTTTCCACAGTGCATCTTGCTAATGTCTCTTGGGAGCTCTGGCTAATGTCTATGGGAAGCACATGCCTCTGTCCTCTCTAGCACCTGTGTCCCTGCATCTCTGCAAAGGATGGGGTTGTTTGCCATGGAAACTGCTGATGGACTACTGGGTTCTGAGTAGGAGTTCCCAGCTTCCCAGCCAGGCTTCTTTGCCTGCTCTCCCTCATCTTTGCTGTCCCCCATCCTGTGGTCTGCTTAGAGACCTGTAGGCCACCTTTCCTCTGCCTTCTCCCTCGTCACAAAAAGGAGAAATTCTGCTTTTTAATTAAATTGATTTCATTTGCTGAACAATTATGAAACACAGATCACCTCCTTTCTTTTTTTTAATTTTATTATATTTTTTAAATTTATTATTAATTTCAGTAAAAATTTACAGAGACTTTGGATTTCCATTCATTCTTTGTTGCACTTTTCTCCCCTCCCAACCCTGCCTGCTAGTACACTACCTTCTTGGAAAAGTAATAGAAAAATTCTTTCATTGTTTTACAAACCCTCTCCCAGGTCCACTCCACCATGTAGCCTTTGCTCTAGACACCTGTCATGACAAAAATACTTAATTACATACCCCTTTTTAACAGTTTTCTCCCTCCTCTGTTTCAATGCAGTATACATTATTGAACCCATCTTTCTCAGTCTCCCTCCAGCCCCGATGTCAGTCCTATTTTACAACAGTGGCACCATGCAGTATTTGTCCTTTTGTGGCTAAGATACTTCACTCAGCATAATGTCCTCCAGGGTCACCCATTTTGAAAAATATTGCATGAGTTCCTTGTTTTTCAATGCAGCATAGTATTCCATTGTGTGAATATACCACAGCTTCTCTATCCATTCATTTGTTGATGGGCACTTAGCTTGTTTCCAACTCCTTGCTATTGTGAACAAAGCCACAATAAACATGGGTGTGCATATATCTGCTTGGATGTCAGTTATGGTCTCTTTGGGGTATATTCCCAGTAGTGGAATTGCTGGGTCAAGATCACCTCCTTTCTAAAGGAGAGTAAAACAGCTGAAGATTAAAGGGCTTGACTTGAGATTAAAGTCACATATCATCCTTTTAAACAACAATTTATGATATTTTATCCATTTATAATATGCAGCCACTGCCACTGTCTAGTTTCAAAGGTATTTCATTACCCCAGGAAAGAACCTTGTGCCATTTAAGCAGACATTTCTGAGTCCCCTTTGTCCCCAGCTTCTTGCAATCTCCAATCTGCTTTCTTCCCATTTCTGTGAATTTGCCAATCCTATGACCAGGGACCTCTAAGTGCACCTGAATCACGCTGTGGTCTTTCCCTCACTTGCTGTGCATCGAGAGTTAAACAGTGAATAAGGGTGATAGAAGAAGAATCGCTGCTGTTGTGGTGTTGTAGAACTCTACTGAACATCCCATGGACTGGTAGAAGAACAAACAAATAGATCTTGGAGAAAATGCAGCCAGAATGCTCCTTGGAAACAAAGATGGCAAAGCTTTGTCTCTCACATACCTTGGGCATACTGTTAGGAGAGGCTGTTCCTTTGAGAAGGACAGCATAATTGGAAGGATGGAGGGTCAGCGAAAAGAGAGGACCTGGCCCCTCAACAAGATAGATTGACACAGTGTCTGCAGCAATGGACTCAGTGTGTAAGACATGATGAGAATAGAACAGGATATGACAAGGTTCAGATCTGTTCACAGTGTTGCTGTGAGTCATACTTAATGGAATCTAACAACAATAATAGGGTTCAAATAAGTGAAAACATACAATATGCATATTACTCCTTTCACTTGCCATGTTTTCAAGGGTCGTCTGTGTCGTATCACATATCAAAATTACTTTCTCTTTACAGCTGAGTAATACCTCATAGTATTTATGGGTCATAATTTTACTTCTTCTTCCATTTCTTTTGTCCATTCTTATCAAGGGGAGTGCTAACCTTCTTTCATACAACACTATTTTATTCATTCTTGATGTGCAATTTAGTAGCTGCCATCTGTAAACATTCTTGTTCAGGTGTGAATACCTGTTTTGAATTCTTTTGGATATTGGCCTAAGTATATAGTTACATATGGTAATCTTAATGTTTTACTTTTTGAAAAATTATCGCGCTGTTTTCCACACCAGCAGAACCATTTTACATTCCCACTTGTAATAATATTGTTGTTGGGTGCTGTCAAGTCATTTATGACCCATCGCAGCTCTATGAATAGCAGATATGAACCCTGGCCTGTTCTGTGCCATCTTCACAGTCTCTGACATATTTGAGCCCATTGCTGCTGTCACTGTCAGTCCGTCTTGTTGAGAGCCTTCCTTTCTTTTTCTGACCCTCCACACTTCTTTTTTTTCTTCCCCCCAACTTTATTTTATTATTTCTATGTGTGTACTGTCAAATCAGATCTGACTGGTACAGGAGGAGATTGCTCCTCCTTCTCCAGCAGAGCATTTGGTGGATTCAAACCATGTACCTCTGGGATTGCAGTGCAGCTTCTTGCTGACCCTCCACCTTTCCAAGCATGTTGTCTCTCTAAGAAAAAGCTTTGTTATTTTTGCCTCTAAGGAGCACTTGACTGCATCTTCTCCAAGACACATCTCTTTGTTCCTTTGGCAGCCCTTGGGATATTTAGTACTTCTCTCCACATCTTAAAGACATCAATTCTTCTGTCATCTTTATTCATTGTCCAGCTCTCAGATGCATAGCAAATGGTCAGGAACACTTCAGTCTTCAAACTGATATCATTACTCCTCTATAATTTTAAAAGGTTCGTGACTGCAGACTTTCCCAGTCCAATGCACCTCCTGACCTCCTTACTGCTGCTACCAAGAGTGTTAATTGTGGATCTCACAATTGTGAGAAGTGTGAAGTTGTGGACAGTTTGAAACTTTTCTCCATCCATCATGATGTTGCCTATTGGGACAGAGTCAAGGATTTTTTTTTGTTTGTTTCCTTGACATTGAGGTGCAATCCATATTGAAGGCTCTAGTCCTTACTGTTCTGCAGCAACCATATTGAATCCTCACTTTCAGCAAGCTAGGCTGTGCCATCTGCATAACACGGGTTATTGAGTCTTCGCCTTTCTCCAATTTTGACACCACGTTCTTCTTCATAGAGTCTGGTTTCTCAGAAATAGCTCAGCATACAGTTTGAATAGGTATGGAGAAAGCCTATAACCCTGACACACATTTCTTAATTTTAAATCATGTAGTGTTCTCTTGTTCTGTTTGCACTGCTGAGCACTATTGTTTCTCGTGAGTTGAGCCAAAGGAAGACTAACAAAGTGAAATGTGGTCCCAGAGGAGCAAGAGCTATCTCAGGCTATCTCTGGACCCAGGCACCTCAGAACCCCTGCCTTTATTAGCAGAAAATTAAAGCATACTTCAAAGCATGATTTTGTAGGGTGGGTAAATGGTTAAGCATAGCTGCCTTCCAAGCAGTTAACCTGGGTTATGGCTACCCATATGAGACATAACATAGGTAAGTTTGAATTGTTTCCAGGGGAACATCCTTGTACTCACAGAAGGATTTCAGTGAACTCATAACGACTTTATCAAGACACCAGAAACTTTTCATGTTTAACTGAAACTTCTCCAAGTCCCCTTCATGGTTATGTTCTCTAGGCAGTCTGGGACTGCTTTCAGCCCCACCTATCTTGGCCTTCTTCACCTGCTTTCAAGCGGTGCTGCCAAGTCCTTTTGCATTTACTCCATGGCTGTTTGTAACCTCAGTGAATTATAGTAACTATAAGCACAATTAAGTGTTCTGAGATTCCCATTCCTCTCAATGTTAGCTGTAATTTGTTGTGATCCACATAGTCAAATGATTTTGCATTAGTCAATAAAGCACAAATAGATATTCTTCTAGTAATCTTTGCTTTCAGCCAGCATCCATTTGACATCAGCAATGAAATCTCTGTTGCTACAGCCTCTTCTAAATCCAGCTTGAGCTTTAGGCAGTTTTTTGTCTATGTACTGTTCCCTTTTTTAATGATCTTCAGCAGTATTTTGCTTGCATGTGATATTAAGGATACTGTGCAATAACATCTATGTTTTGTTGGATCACCTTTCTTAGGAATTGGAACAAATAGGGGGCTGTCTTCAGTCAGTGGGCAAGGCACTTATCCTTCAAATTTCCTGACATAGACTGGTGAGCACATCCATAGCTGTCTCTTATTGGCTGAAACATGTCAGCTGGTATCCCATCAATTTTGGGGGCCTTATTTTTTGCCAGTGCACTCAGTACAGCTTGACTTTTTCCTTCATTACCACTGGCTCTTGATAATATCCCCTTCCTGAAACATTTCTGTGTTGACCAGTTCTTTTTGATATTTAATTCTGTGTATTCCTACACCTGGATCATTCACGATTTTACCCATGTTGTTGTGTGGTAACTGATTCGTAGCTGATGACCCTCCAGTGAGTATTCAGTGGCAGTAAACTATGTAGGAAGAGACTGCCCATCCTTCTTGGTCTTATTTCTCTGTTTTGTTTGTGTTATTGCCATTCTCAGGATTGGGAAGTGGTATGTCTTTGGGGCTTTGGGTTTGCACTTATTTAATGATAAATAATGTACCTATCAGCCATTTCTATTCAGATATTTTGCGTAGTTTTAATGGATTGATGGTCTTTGTTTTTTTAAAAAATTACCGATACACTCTGGAGACTAGTCCTTAGGTGATAGATGATTCGCCAGTATTTCTCACACCTCTAGGTTTGTTTTTTTGTGGATTTTGTGTTGTTTTTTGGGTTTTGTGTGTGTGTGTGTGTGTGTGTTTGGTTTTTTGTTTGTTTTTTTTTTTACTTTTGTATAGTATCTTTTGAAGCACAGGTTTTGGGGTTTTTTTGTTTGTTTTTAATTTTGATGAAATTTAGTTTATATATTTTTCTGTTGCTTTTAACATAAGCTTTAAGATTGTCAGACTCAAGAACATATATTCTTCTATATTTTCTTACAAGAATTTTCTAGTTGGACTCATTTTGAGTTGAATTTTATTTATGGTATGAGGCAAGGATTCATTGAAATACTTTTTATTAAAATCTTATTTTAATTGACTTTTTTTTTACATTGCTGTATATGTGTACACTTTGATCCTCTTAAGTGCAAGGGTATAATATTCTTTTAGAGAAAAAGAACATGAAAGAGAGCGAGAGGCAGTTTTATTTTTTAGGGAATTTAGTTCCTAAACATCATGCCTCTGGAATCTCTACGAAGTTTGAGAAACAGTGATAGTTACAGAAAGGCTTCAGATCTTTTGTTCATAGGGTCACTATGAGTCATGCTCAACTCGATGGCAATCAGCGAAAACAGCAATAGCACTTGTCTGGGAAGAAGGCAAGTTTTTGTATCCTACTTCACAAGAGCTTTAGTTTCAGTCATTATATCTTACTAACTTTTAGTTTAATGTGATGGTAAGTGCCCCTTTTTCATTTCCTTTTCTGTTTTTCTGGGAACAGGATGGCTCATGGTAGATATCATTGCAGCTTTAATCTGAGTGGAAAAATGCCACGAGGGTAGAATGCTTAGAAATTCAAACTCATTGTCATTAAGTCAGTTCCCTGTTCATTGAGTTTTCAAGTCAGTGAATCACAGAGAAGATAAAGTTGTATCGCCCACACCATATCCCCTTGTCTTCCTCTCCTCTCTTGATTTAGAGATACTTTTAGGTTTATCATGAGAGAGCATGAGAAATGGACAGGGCACGAGCCGTTCTTCCTGACATTCATTGTCCATCCTGTTGGTCCTGGTTGGCAGACTTAGTTTGGAGACCCATCACCATCTCCGGTTGGAAAAAAGGTGACAGCAAAGGCCTGGGTTCTTACCCTGCCTAAAGGCTAGCTGCCTCCCTCTTTCTGCATACTCAGAAAACACCATTGCTTGGCCTAGTCCTGATTTAGCCTCCAGATCCACAAAATATGTCTAAAGTAATTTTTATCCCCAAATGTGCCATTGCTCCTTGCTAGAGAAAATGGACTGAGAATTCCTGTCCACTTTCCAGTAGACAGCAGAGTATGGGGAGGCCTGGCATCTATAGCTCTAACAGAGCAGCGCCTCATCTGTCAAATTATCACTGTATCTCACAGTGTCTGGCTCAATCAAAACTCAACACCCCCGACCTCACTGGGGAGCACGTGAGAGAACATCTCATAGATGTCAATGTCCTAGAAGTCCTTCTTCAGGTTCCAGGTGTGGTGCCAGCCATCCCTTGCTCCTCGCCTCCGCTACCATCTATCTGATTGATCTGGCCCACAGCTGCCCGGCAGGACAGAGGAGAACTGCCCAGCCTTTCCAGGAACCTTTCCAAGGGCTTCACTCTGCACGAACGCAGACCTCCTGATCTCTCTCCAAAGGAACGGCTGGTAGATGCAAGCTACTAAGCTTTTGGTTAGCAGATTAATGCTTAATCTCCTGTGCCACCAGGACTCCTTTCTCTTGCTCCCAGGAATAGAGAATGTTTTTTATGGCTTAAACAATAGGTGAATAAATGAATGAATAGTTGTTTGTTGCTTTTTTTGTTTGTTTGTTGCATTTAAGCACTATGAGAGAAGACATTTAAGATAGCCATGAGATATTTTGGTTTCTTTGTCTTTTTAAATTTTTTTACTTGAGATCTTATACTAAGAATCAAATATTGAATACCACAGCCTTTCTGATAAACACCTGGGAAAGTGCCTGCTGCCCTAGATGTGCTCACCAAGTTGTGTCAGGAAATGTGGAGGAGAACCACTTGGCCAACTCACTGGAAGAGATCTATATTTGTTTCCGTTCCAAATAAAAGTGGCCCAACAGAGTGTGGAAATTATCAAACAGTATCTTTGATATCACATGCAAACAAGATTCTGCTGAGGATTATCCCAAAACGACTGGAACATCAGCAGAGAACTGCCAGAAGTGCAGGCTGGCTTTCGAAAGGGGTCGTGGTACTAGGGATATTATAGCTAATGTTAGAAGGATCTTGGCTGAAAGCAGGGAGGAATGTCTGTCTGTGTTTCCTTTATTATCCAAAGGCATTTGACTGTGGCTCACAACAAACCGTGGCTGACTCTGAGAAAAATGGGAATCCCAGAACACATGCTCGTGCTAATGAGAAACCTATACTTGGATCAGGAGGCAGTTGTCAGAACAGAGCGAGGAAACACTTTGAATGTTTCAAAATTGGGAAAGGTATATGCCGGGGATGTGTCACCCTATATGCAGAAAAGATTATCTGGGAGGCTGGGCTGTATGAGGAGAAGTATGGTGGTATCAGGATTGGTGGAAGATCTATCAACAGTCTGTGCTATGCAAATGACACAACCCTGCTTGCTGAAACTGAAGAGGACCCAAAACACTTGCTGTAGAAATTCAAGGACTGCAGCCTTCAATATGGATTAAGGCTCAACATCAAGAAGGCAGATTTTCACCACTGGGCGAATTAGCATCATCAGGATGGATGGTGAAGAGATTGGGATTGTTAACAGCTTTAGTTTGCTTGTCTCCATGGTCAACACTCTTGTCACTAGCAGCCAGAAAACTAAAAGACGTATTGAATGGAAAATCTGCTGTTAGGAACCTCTCCAAAGTACTGAAGAACAATGGTGTCACTCTGGAGACTAAGGTGTGCCTGGTACAGGCCATGGTCTTTGCAGTCAATTGCTATGCATCACAGAGCTGGACAATGACTAGGGAGGATAGAAAGAGAATTGATGCCTTTGAGCTGTGGTGCTGGGGAAGATTTTAAATATACCGTGGACTGCTAAGAAAATGTACAGGTTCAAACTGGAGAGAGTTAAACCAGGCTGTTCCTTGGAGGCAAAGATTCTGAAGCTTTTATCTGACATACTTTGAACATATTGCAAGGAGGGACCAGTCTTTGGAGAAGGACATCGTGCTTGGGAGGGTGGAGGGACAGCAAAGGAGAGGAAGACCCTTGATGAGGTGGATTGATTCAGTGACTGGGGTAATTGGGGTAGGTGTGTCAGAGATAGTGAGATTGGCACAGGATAGAACAGAGTTTAGGGCTGTTGTACATAGGATCGCTATGAGTCGCAGGCAACTCAACGGCACATAACAACAATAATAATAAATAGTTTTGAGTTTGACAAAGCCAGTTATTTTACTGTCTTCCAGAATCTTCAGGCTTGAATTCATATTTTACAAATTAGTGCCTGTAAAAGGAATTTGTAGTAAAATATTCTTTTTAGTAGAAAGAAACATAGAAGGTCAAAGTCATCAGTGTGTAAGCTTTTCCCCCAGGGACCTGTGCCCCCAGGTAGCATCTGCCTCAGGGACACCTTCCTGGGAAGCTGCTCAGGAACCCAGGTCAGGCCAATGAGCTAAAGGTCTGTAGGATTGATGTTGCCCCTGTGAGCACATATCCCTGTTCCAAGCTCCTTCTGCGTCTCAGTAATCCAGTCCTCATCTCTAATTTTCTACTCCTGCATTTACCCAACTCCTTTCCTAGAATGGTTGGAGAGCTCTTGAATATTCTTTTAATCTGTCCTTCTATTAAAAATGTCCTGTTGAGCAAGCTTATTTAGGCTAGAGGAATACATTTAATTGGTTGTATGTCAAACCAGCCAGGGGCTCTCTTGTTACTTTACAGTTTGACTACTTTTATAGTTATGTGCTTAGTATTATCTGTATATATTTCTTTCCTGCTGTATCCATTTAAAATGAACAAATAATTTATAACAACCAACTGGAAGTGAAATTACCATGGTTAACTCCTGATATTACCTGATTTGACCTGAGTTCTTAGTAGGCCCTCACTTCCCATCTTACTCAGTTGGCTTTCGTGGTTTCCTTCAGTTTTATGTTTTTTAATGTTTTCTTTTGAGTAATCAAGCTTGAGTTTATATTGTTATTGTTAAGTGCCTATGAATCAGAACCAACCCATACCTGATACGCTAGCAGGTTTCAGGGGTAGTAAATCACACAGGAGATAACCCATCTTTCTCCCTCATAGCGGCTAGCGGTTTTGAACCAGGGGCCTTTGAGTTGGCAGCTCAGCTCCTTGCCACTAAGTCACTAGTGCTCTCTGAATTCACACTAACTCCTGTTAAAGTTTGTCGAAGAATAATCGAAACTTAGCATTTTTCTGAATAGTAATTAAATTTTACTAGGCAGTACTCATGTGCAGAGCCATGTGCCCTCAGTGTGGTTGGTTGCTAGGGGCAGGTTGCCTTCATGAAAACTAATGTTACCATAGTGTTATACTGTCATAGAAATGAAAAAGGATTCAAAGTAATTTTTTGTTTGCATGTGCATTGGGGGGTTTCCTCACAGAATTTCCAGAACAAAAATTGTTTGCTGCCCTGTTGATTAAATGTGTTGTGCAGCTGGAACTCATCCAGACTATCGACAACATCGTGTTCTTCCCAGCCACAAGTAAGAAGGAAGATGCGGAGAACTTAGCTGCCGCACAGGTAAGGAAGCCTGCCGGACGGCTGCTTTGCTGTGTGAGTGGGCAGCAGATAGAACATTCTAGTATTCAGAGCAGAGTCCAGGCTGAGACTTAATTTTGGTTGGAGTGTGTGATCTTTATCATATAGATGTAATTTTAAACTATGAGACTAGAGCCATCGCTGCAGTGGGGAGTGTGGCCAGCCAGAGCAGAGCCCCGGAGGTGGGTTCCTGAGCCCACCATCATTTCATACAGCAAATGGGAAGTAGGAGGAAGCACAGGAGGTCAGATGAGACCTATGTGTGAAGGAGAAGGGTCTGTCTCAGCCCTCGCAGCTTGCTCAAAGCCTTGACCATCGGACCTGGAGATTTGTAGGACTTTGGTAGTCCAGACAAGGTAGATGTTAGTGAAGCACTGAAGACAGAAGCCTCCAGTTAGAATGTATATTAGAAAAGAATTGGAGACAGCAAATACCAATAATTCTTTCAAGGAACTTTGTTGTAAAGGGATAGAGAGAGAGAGAGGCCTAGAGTCGTGAGTGCTATTTGTTTAACGTTGCAGTATTACAGCAGATCTGCTGACTGGCGTTTGTAAAGAAAAGGAAAAAACCCTGAGTATACAAGGGAGAAGAGTGGTTGCTAGACCATTTTTTTGAGTGAATGGGGAAGCCGCTGTAGGACGTCCTGTCTGGTGTCCTGCAGAGGCACCAGCAGTTCATCCAGTGGAGCAGGAGGGGCGGCAAACCCTGGAGACAGGACAGTTGGTACATTTGGGCTGGGAACTTGGGGGAGATTTCTTCTGATAGCTCCCCTTTTCTTAAGATGTCAGAACAAAAGTCACCAGATGAGCCTGGGAAGAGTGCTAGGTGTTTGAGAAGACGTGAGTCAGTCAGTCTTCTAGGAGGGTGAACTTGGGAAAGGTACAGCACCCCGAGTCCTCTGCATTTAAAGAGAAGCTGTCAGCACATGACCAGTTAGGCTTGTGGACGCAGACAGGGAGTAGTCGGCGAGTGTTGGAATCAGCCAGACAATTACTGGGAGGAGGAAAGGTACACAAAGAATAACTACAGCTGTCCTTGAACTGTCCTCGAACTGGTTGAGCAGCGTGGCCCTGTAGGGGCGAGAAGCAGTGAGGGGGTGGGAGACGTGCTCTGTAGGTGGTGGGAGGGTGAAGAGTTGCTGAGGGTGGCAATCAGGAGGAGGGAAGTGGAGAAGGAGGTGGTGTGCATGGAATGAAGATTATGGAGGATGAAGAATAAAGAAAAGGGATCATTCGCCCTCTATTTTCTGTGGAGATGGAACAGATTAGATTTCTTGTAATCTGCTTATTTGTGAAAATGGTCTTTCAGACATCGGGTCCTCCGTTGACTCAGATGTCTTCCCTGTGTGTGCTCTCTCACGACACGCGTGCTGAGGTGGTTTGTTCTCCCACAGAGAGATGCAGTCGACTTTGATGTCCGTGTTGATACTCAAGACCAGGGGATGTACCGCTTTCTAACATCACAGCAGCTTTTTAAGTTGCTTGACTGTTTACTAGAGTCACACAGATTTGCTAAAGCTTTTAATTCCAACAATGAACAGAGGACTGCTCTCTGGAAAGCAGGTGAGTGGCACCGGGCTTGGATTGGGATGTGCAGTGAGGGACATGTGGCAGAGCCATGCCTTTATCCGAATGCTCAGAATTCGCTTTAGGCCATTTCACTTTAATAGCCTGGGTGAATCTTTGCCCCTTTGTTTAGTTGGCGGGCTGTTTGAGGAGTGTGCTTTTCCCTATCTACCCTGGGCATTTACATTGGAACTGCCAGCACAAAAGGCTGCCTTTTATACGCCCCACCATGTGGTGAGGCTCCCGGGCTCGAGCGTGGGTGTTGGAGTGACGGGTGTTGACCCAGCTCCGGGCAGTAGTCATTCTACGTAGGTACATGGAGGTGGTGCATTTGTATTAGAACTTAGAACATGTAAAGGGTTTTTAATTAATGAAGTACATTTGCCTTGTTAAATATTGAAGATAGTTATTCAGTGTTTGTCAAGTGCCAAACAGTCAGGGAGAGTACCTGTGCCATGGAGTTGATTCTAACTCAGTCACCCTAGAGGGCAACGTAGACCCGCCCCAGGGGACTTTCAAGGATGGCAATCTTAACAGAAGCTGACTGCCCCATGTTTGTTATGTGGAACCTCTGCTAGTTTTAAGCACCAACATTCTGCTCACCAGCCCAGTGTTTAATTCATATGACAAAAGGAAGAAGGGGCTGATGGTTTCACATAATGCTGACTGCATTTTATTTACCCATTTTATTTGATCTGTTTCTTTTTAGCTCCTTAATCTGCAGCTTTTTGTTCATCTCCACTCCTGCCCTTTGCACCAGGCTCTGACCATTTCTTCAGTGTATTTAGCTGCACTTTGTAAATTAGTACTGGCATGTAAAAAAGAGCCTCTAACAGCCTAGCTTCTGTAGAGAGTGGTCTGCACTTGGTTCTCCCTGTCTTCATCTTCAGCAAGAAAATAAGCCTAGGTCTAGAAATCACCATCAGGTTGGTCAGCCGCACACAGGCCCCTCCCCTCCCTGGAATGGTCCACGTGCGTCCTGGTACTAGCGTTGCCTCTCTGCTTCCTGCACAGAGTCCACGTGCCCAGCTAACCTTGTACAGGCTTTTACTTGAGCCTTTCAGCTCCTTACGGAAACATCCCCTTTCCACAGGCTTCAAGGGCAAGTCCAAGCCCAACCTTCTAAAGCAAGAGACGAGCAGCCTGGCCTGTGGCCTGCGCATCCTGTTCCGGATGTACACAGATGAGGGCCGGGCCAGCGCCTGGGAGGAGGTCCAGCACCGGCTGCTCAAGTAAGTGTCTCTGAGGAGTGTCGCCCGGAAACAGACACTGCTGCTCCGTCCAGGGAGGGCAGAGGCCTCCCAATGGAGTCCTGCTCCTGCCCAGGAGGGGGCGCTGGCAACTCAGATGACCAGACTGATGCTTTCAATCCCCTTTCTGAATGATTTTGAAAATTAAATGTGATCATTAAATTTATATTAAAATTGTTATTACTATTAAAAATGAACATGCTTTGCATGACTGGTGATGTAAATCCATCATGTCTGTTAGAGAAGAGAAAGTTTTCTTTTACAGCTTTTTTCTAATGCCATAATTGCCCCATTTTTATAGAATACTTGTGAAAAAAGAATACCAGCATTTAATTTGAAAAATATTTGTTGCTGTGTTGTTTTATATTACTTATTTCATAATCACTTATTTTATCGTTTAACATGTAAATTTGTGCCAAGAATGAAGCATCACATCCATCTCTATTGTATTTTTGTTTCTTTGGGAAACATGTTCATTCTCAGAGACCAGTTAAATCTATTTTAAATGTTTTTCCTTTTTTTAAAGATTGGTTTGCATACAAAATTCATATACATTGTATTTCTTATGGTCATTCCTATACTTTGTGTATTATCAAATTAATTACCATTGCCCTATGCCCACCCATGCCCCATCATGTCACTGACCAGACTTTAGTGGCTCACAGTGGTCTACGGCCCACAGGCCTGGCCTCTGGCGCAGAGCACCGTGGGCTTGCTCCTGCGCAGCAGCTTTGAAGTCAAGGCAGCAGAAGCAAAACGCTTGTTTCTTCTAACAACTTGCAGGATCCTGTCTGAATGCCCTTGGTTTTATCGCCAAGTATGTAAGTTAGTGGAAACATAGGGAATCTAGCAAGTATTTTCATAGTTGTGACTCCCTCCGCTCTCAGCAGTACATGTCCCAGCCGTGTGTGCACATGTTCCGACAGAAGTCTGTCTGTCTGTCTCTCACCCTCTCTCTCTCCTCCCACCTCCTTTCTCTCTGTCTCTCTCTCTCAGTGTCTGCAGTGAAGCGCTGAGCTACTTCCTTACTCTAACATCGGAAAGTCATCGGGAAGCCTGGACCAATTTGCTGCTCTTGTTCTTAACTAAAGTGCTGAAGATCAGTGATAACAGGGTACGTGTGAGCCCCTCTCCAGCCCCGTTACCCATCACTAAGCATGTTCAGTCTAGCCTTTTCCTAGACTGATCATCACAGTGAACCTGAGGCAGGAATGCTGGGTTGCCCACCTCCTGCCTCAGAACTTACAGAGGTGGAAGAAACAAGCCCAGCTTGTAAGCTTGTGCAGGTGGCTACTTCCCATCTCCCTGGTCTGTTTCCTCCTCCTAACGCAGCTTTATTCTCTCATCAGGGATTGAATTCAGTAGGCTGTAACCATAGTCCTCAGGTCACTTGAACACACTGTAAGACCCACACATTATAGAATCCCTTAGGTCTTCCCTTTGACCCCTCGAGTCTTCTCACCCTCCTCCTTGTATTCAGACTATAGTCCACCCTTAGGCTTGCACTCCAGCCCTTGTCTCTGGGCCTTTGCTCCAGATTCCTGCCTTGTCTTGGACATATTTAATGGCTCCGTGTAACCCAGAGCTCCTAATGACTTTGATACCAGTAGAAATGAAGACAGAATACAAACCTCCCACTGCTGCAGCGGGTTCTGGCCCATAGTAGCCCTAACAGGTAGAGTAGCAGTGCCCACGGTCTCCAAGGCTGTACCCTTTACAGAAGCAGATGGCCACAGCTTCCTTCCTGGAGCAGCTGATGGGTTCAAATCGCCAGCCTTGGGATTAGCAGCTAAATGCCTAACCACCGAAACACCCGAGCTCCCTCAGAATACAAACCTGTAATTAAATATAAAAGCATATTTATTTATATTTAATATGTTGTTGATGAGTACTATCAAATTGGAACAGACTCATAGAGACTCATAGGTGAACCATGAGCTAGATTTCAGAGACAGTAATTCACACATGAGGAGAAACTTCCCAGCCTCCTTCTATAGAGTAGTTGGTGGATTGGAACCTCAGACCTTTGGGTTGGCAGCACACGCACCTCCTCATTACCAAGCCACATCACTGGAAACGGTTACTACAGTCCCTGAAGTTACCTTAAATACTGGCTAGAGTCTTTGCAGGCAGAGGCCCTTTGTGGCATGGGGACACCACAGATCCTGGACAGTGCTGATGTCACATGGTCTGGTGCTCAGAGCTCCATTGCCATCTGACTGCGAGGCCCGTTAGAGCTCAGAGGCCTCTAAGCCAAGTCTGCCTCACTCCCTAGCTCATTCTCCTGCAGCCTAGCACACTGCCTGCCTGCATCTTGTGGGCAGAGGAGCAAACAGGAGGCAGAGTAACATTCAGAAGTTAAAGAACTACAACAGAGGTATACGCAGAGTATGCAAAGAAATTATAAATTGGGATGTGTGTATGATCTTCATCTAGAAACTGTGTATTTTATCTTGCAACACAGAATTTCCTCTAAAATTTAACAAATGGATTTGATAAATCACATCGAATCTCAGATTTTGGTCCTGTTTGCCTTTTTATTTTTGGCTTCCGGGGGTGGGGGAGGGAGTAGCTACTTTACCAAGTGTTTGTCAGGAAAGTATGATCAAAGATGTGTTTCAAAATAAGGATAGCTATGTGAATGTTTTTATTGAGTTTTTTGTTGGTTTTTTTTTAGTATGTCATGATCTTTTCGTTTTCTAATGAAAATAATCACTGCTCAAAAGGTAGTTAGTTTCCTTTTAAGTCCTTTGATCTGTAAGCCCTACTAAAAGAAATTCCTCTCTCCTCAGTTTAAAGCTCATGCCTCGTTCTACTACCCTCTCCTGTGTGAAATTATGCAGTTTGACTTGATTCCTGAGCTTCGTGCTGTTCTTAGAAGATTTTTTCTGCGAATTGGAGTCGTTTTCCAGATATCGCCGCCACCCGAACAGGAACCTGGGATAAACAAGCAATGATGGGAACTAGGTTTCTGTTGGTGTTTACATCCCTCTGCTCCTTAAAAGGACCCTGGAGCTGAGACTGCCTACCTGAAAATGGTTTCTCTGAATTGCAGTGTCTAAAGGTTGCTGGTAAAAATGCTTAGAACTCCAAGTCACACTTGCAACACTCCAGTCCCCACTAGTGACTCCTGGACTCGCAGTGTCCT